CCCTTCCCCATCTCCTTAGTTCACTCAAAAAAACCCGAAAGGAGGCTGTGATCTCAGATGGCTTGTCATCCGCTTCATGCACCACGCTTAAATTCTACAGCATCCTTTCCTCCATCGCTATCACAGCCTATTCCTCTCCAACACGCCAGCATAGTTTTCTCCGCTGACCTGCTGAAAGGGTGTGAAGCAAGCTCTAATCGCTGGCAGATCCTCACGGCCGAGCTGCACGGCCTCCCCCGTCCCAGTCCCACAGCCTCGTTGCACAACCGGCTGCGAGGGCTGCCCTGCCATTTACGTGGACATGGGCACGGGCACGGGCAAGGAAGGACGGGCTTCCACCTCCCACCTGGTGCAGGTCTTGCATTGCAGGGCAGCGGCATCCCCCTAATGCACCAAATTCAGATGATTCAGACAACAGTTCCCACAAGTGCCAGCCATTGTCCTCAGTAGCTAGGCCTGATGGGAGTCGAAGTCAAAATACCCAGAGAGCACCAGCTGGGGAAGGCTGCATTGAGCAGAGCGGCATAACTGGCTCCAGGTTGGCCCAGGCTTCATGAGTCCAAAGAGCCCTCCAAGCCACATGCAAACCTCCAAGGAATGCTGGAAACGGGCACAAGACGACGCTGAGACCTGGAATCCTTCCACTTCGACAAAGAAGAGGAATACTCAGGTCTCTCCACCTTTTCTGTCCCTTCTATAACTGTATCTATAGCAATAACTCTTGTTATTTGCATTGTCTTTCCATCCCAGCTTTTTTTCCTCTCAAGAGAAAGCCAAGGTGGCTTACATAGCTCCCTTTTATCCTCACAACAACAACCCTCCAGGGCCATCTCAATGCATGGGCCTGGTGGGCACTTGCCCGTGGGCCCCATACTAATCTGTGTATGTTAACCCTTGGAAAATGGGAAAACTTCCAAAATTACCAGTAGTTGTAGTTGTCGTAGGGGCCCCAGGACACTGCTTTGCCGGGGCCCATCATGCGGTGAAGGCAGCCCTGCAACCCTCCGAGGTAAGTCAGGTTCAGTGTGAGTGACCAGCCCAAAATCATCCTGTGAGTTTCATGGCCAAGTGAAGACAAGAACCACTTCAATGGCCCACGAACATAGAAGCAAAGACCTGGGAGCTCAAACATCCTTCCAGAACCTGGTGCCTTCCAGAAGTTCGCTTCCTACAACAGCTCCCATCAGCTTCCACCAACACATCCAACGACCAGAGATGGGTGTGATCCCAAACTTCTGGAAGGTTGGGGAAGGCTGCCTTGAACTGACACTCCAGTTCAGTTTCTGGGTCAGGCTTTGTCCACACAGAAGATCCCCATGTTATAGATCTGACATCCTAGTATTTATTTATTTATTTAGTAAGCTTCTGTGCCGCCCCATTCACCAAAGCCTCAGGGCAGCTTACAACAATAAATAAATATATATAATCATATAAAAACAATATAATTGGAAACGCCCTGGCCAAAGATATAAAATCAATAAATAAGCTAACAATTAAAATGCCGTTTAAATAAAAAGGCCTTGGCCTGGTGCTGAAAAACAAATAATGACGGCGCCAGACGGACCTCTCTGGGGAGTGGATTCCATGGGTTGGGCGCCACCGCAGAGAAGGCCCTCCTCCGGGTACTCACCCTCCTAATTTCCTTCACGGAGGGTTCCTGGAGGAGGGCCTCTCCCGCTGATCCCAAGGAGTGGGAGGGCATGTATGGACATAAGCGCTCCTTTAGGTAACCAGGTCCCAAGCCGTTAAGGGCTTTATAGGTCATCACCAACACCTTGAATTGGGCCCGGACTTCCATGGGGATCCAGTGAAGCTGACGGAGGACTGGAGTCGTGTGAACATAACGCCCCGTCCCCGTCAGCAGCCTGGCAGCTCTATTCTGCACCAATTGAGAGAGGCATGGTGGAGCAGCGGTTTGCGCATCCAGCTGGGCCTGGAGGGATGTGGGTTCCAGTCCCTTCGGCCATGAAGCTCACTGAGTCAGTCGCTGAGTCAACCTGTCCTACTTCACAGGGTTGTTGTGAAGATGACACAGAGAGGAGGAGGAGGGCCATGTATGCCCCTTTTTGAAGTTTGGAGTGGTGGATGGCAGGATATAAACATAACAAATATAATAAATAATAGAGGAAGGCCATGCAATGAGCAGAGGCTTTGTCCTTGGAGTCTCCTTGGGCCAAAATTTTAAGCCGGTGTACCAACTGCAATCCGATGGAACACGGTGGCCAGAAAACTGGGCCGAACCATTCGAAGGCAGCGCTGCTCTGTACCTCCCCCGCTCTCCTCTGCACTTGCTGTTGCCCTCCGCCGACAGAAGCAGATGCTGAATTTGCATGAAAGCCTCTAGAAGGCTGTTGCGTTTGGCACACGGCTTTGGCTCCCGTACGTGGATCATCCAGGCAGGGGGCTCGGGGGTGTTCCCTCCAGACCACACATCCTCTGGCTTAATCCTTTCCCAATTCTATTTTCCTGCTGTCTGTTTCTTCTCCAGGAGCCTTTGGGGGGGGGCGGGGGGGGATGCTCAGTGGCGGAGCCGTGCTCTGCCCAAGAAGATCCCAGGCTCGGTCCCTCGGCGTCGCCACACAGGGCTTGAGCTCGCCCTGCACGAGGCCTTGGAGAACTGCTGCCAGCCCGTGTTGACAGTAGTGGGCTGGATGGGCCACAGGTCTGACACAACCTCAGGCAGCCTCTGATGCGCCTACTATGGGCTCACGCAGAGACACACAAGCACCCAGGACCCACTGCTGGGAAATTGGTCCACTGCCCCAAGGAATTCCAGGGAGCCTGCTACACTCGTGTGCCCAATACTGGGAAAGCTAGAGAAGGCCGTCTCCCAGGGCGCAGGGAAGCTGGACTCATGGCATATCTAGGCTCAAAGCATTTACTCAGCCACCCACAGGCTTGTGAGGATCATGGTACTTGTGCCACCATCCACACACGGTCCCTTTATCCCCGGCCTTTTCCCCTCTGGCAAGAAACCAGAGGTGCCTTGCATGGTTCTCCTTCACTCCCAGTTTTCCTCCAGACAACAACCTTGTGAGGTAGGTTAGGCTGAGAGTCTGTGACTGGCGCAAAGTCATGCAGTGGTCAGGAGCTCCGCAGAGTAGAACCTGGCTCTCCCAGCCCCCCCCCCCCCAGCCCAGCACTGAGACCTGTGCAGGCCCATGTGAGCATCCCCCCCACAACAGCCACCCCACAGGAGGAAAGGACAGCATGCATTCCTGGGCAGAAATGCAGCACCACGCATGGGGTTTGCGTGCAGCTTGGCACCCCCTTGAAAAGCCGCATTTTCCTGAGGAGTTCATTTACACATGCAGGAAACGAGTGCAGAGCAATCAGGGGGTGTGCGTGTTGTTTGTGTGAAAGGGATGGGTCCGTATTCACCACCGAAGCCAACGAAAGGATCTCACTCCTGTTCCCTAATGCCTAGAGACAGAAAGGCTGCACAGGGAATGATGCATGGGGAACCCTGCAAAGCCACAAGCTTCCCCGTTTTTAGAGCTGTGCGTGTTCACAGTCACCGAGTCATATCAATCTCTCTTCCTAGTCCATTTATATAGGCTTTGCAAAGCTTGCAAAAAGCTACTAGCCTAGAAATACTGACGCCTGCCTGCCCGGGCTTGCCTGCCCATGAGCCAGAGGTAACCTCCAAGACAAAAAGGAGGACCAACCTTTCTCCTAGAGAAGATCCTGTCTCGCCACAGGCAGGCATGAAGCAATGAGCCTGAAAGTGGGGAGCCCCAGGCTGGAATCGCCACTCGCTCCACTCACCTTGGGCCAGGCACTCACCTCGCAGCCTCCCAGGGTGAACATGGGCAGGGCAGCCCTGCACCCTCCCTTGAGCCCCTCAGTATACAGAACCAGAAGAAGTTGCCTTCAATCAAGCCAGGGTGTTGGTCGACATAGCCCAGCGTTGTCAACTAATAAGGAATGCGTGCCTTTACGAATCTAACTATCGAGAGTATTTCCACCCTGTATATTGCTGTGAAGCCTCCCGAATACCTGGGAGTGCACACAAGCAGATGGAGGTGCCAGTCACACAACTGTTCTCCCACCAGGTGTTTTCTTGCTTTCATCCTGGCCTTTTCATCATGGGAGGCAGGTTGGAGTTAGGGAGCTGGAACCCAGGCCCAAATCCAACACGCTGGCCATTGCACTGCAGGGACTAAAGCGAGCGGGAGAAAGCATGCAGACATGCAGCTCTGGTGATGCCTTCAGGAGCTCCCCTCTTCCCTAGTTTGTCTGGCTCCTCCCCCGAGCTCACCCCAATGCTTGCTAGATCCTCAGAGAGAGGCTACCAATTGCTCATCCTTTGCTAAATATCCTGAATGGGAGAGTGAGAGAAAAGCAAAACACCCCCCTCAAGGCCCTCCATCATCTCTTAAGTTCAGTGCCATGTGTGCGCAAATATTATTCTTAGCATTCTCTTTGACCGGTCACATTGAACGAATTACATAAACCCAACCTCTTTAACGCTGAAACCTTTTGATGTGTAAATCTAAAAATATCGCCACTCCTACCACAGGCCAGCATTAAAATTTGCTTTGTGGTCAAGCCCCGTTGCCAAAAGAAACAGGAAGGGTTGATCTTGGGAAGGAAGAGAAACGAAAGTGACAGTGGGTGCAAAGATCATCGCAGCTCAAGCTGCTGAGGAAAGAGCCATCCCCAGCACGACCCAAGGATGCTGTGGCGCAGCTTCCCCAGAAATCTGCTCCGGGTTTCTCTGTACCACGATCGCATCCCAGCTGCTCGGGCGTTCGTCTAATTCCACTGCCCTCTCGCAATGAGATGGCCGCATCCTGGTTTCTCCACTGGGCTGAGCTCCCCAAAGCTTATGGGATCTGCCGTTTCCATCTGTGACTCCACCTGCCTGGGTTTCCCAGGCCAAAAGTGAGGATCAGCTATACGTGTTGGAAAACACATCGCTCGCGCGCTCGCTCGCTCGCTCTCTCTCCTCTCTCTCTCCCCCCCCCCCCCATCCCTTTTCATGTCACTCACGCCACCTGGGAAAGCGAATCCGGAGGACCGGTCCCACGGGCTCCCGGGCAAGCGCCTCGGCAGGCAGCGCAGCGCAGCGCAGCGCAGCGCAGCGCAGCGCGCGCGCCAAACTTCAGCACCCTGGACAGGGCGCCTGCTCGTTCCAATCGGAGGAGCCGACACGCAATGTGCTAATCATTCTTGAAATATTGTTGAAACTGGCCATGTGCCTGTTGAAGACATTTGCGGGTCTGTTTATTTTTAGCATTGACAAATCCTCTTTGGATCATGCAGTGTTTATCCCACTCGGTGCCCAGTCTTTCGGGAGGGTTGCTCGTCACCCTCGCGGTGAACCAAATTGGGTCCCCCAGCTTTTTTCGCACCGCTCAAAACGGAGAGAGGCGGGTCGCGGAGGTCGTAAAAAGTTACCCCGGGAGTTTCGTACGTCCCTTTCAAAAAGAGCTAGAAGTTCGTTTCGCTCGCTCCTTTGGAGAACAAAACCCTAAACTTGTTGCTCTGGATTACGATATTTTCACTCTGAATCTTACTTTCCATCTAAAGAAAAAAAATAGAATAAATTCTGGAAAATTACTCATTGCCATCCCTTCACCCTCCTCATTTCCCCCAGGGACGCAGATGGCTAGGAAGTTACTGTTTCTCTGAATTCCCACCCCAATCCCGAAATTCTGATCTCCAAGATTCTGCGTAGCCTCTATTTGTCTCACGACGCAGCAATTGCGATATTTTCATTTCAAGTCAGGCTGGCTAAGATACAGACCTCCAAACACCAACTTTTGATTTATAGATTCCAAGACTGATCTTTGGAAAATAGAAACTGGCAGGAAATACGTAAATCTTACGGTTTGCGATGGCAGCAGAGAAGATTTCAAAGTCCCGTTCCGACAAGGAAAACGGAACCCAAGCGGCTTATTTTGCATCAGACCATCCCCAAATCCTCAGCCCTTTAGAAAACAAAAGCAGGGAAGCAAAGCAGGCGGACGGCTTCATTTCGGCAACTCTGCCCAGACTGAGAAAGTCAAACTTTTGCCGTTCGATTCGGAAATGGCCGGTTTCCTGCGCCCGCGGAGGTGGGCGCCCCGGGTCCTCAAGCGCTCCTCGCCCCCCACGCGCAGGCAGGCAAGCGGACCCCAGCACTGTCGAGGAAGCCCCCGCTTCCCAGACCCGCACCCCGCGCCCCGCGGCTCCACATCAGCATCTCCTCCGGAGAGGCGAGGCGACCTTCGGAGAAAACTTCGCGGCGCCCAGGGGAGGTCCGGGCGCCTCGCCGCGCCGCGCCGCGCCGCCCTCCGCGCGGGAGCAGCCCCAGCCGTCGGGGAAGGAAGGCACCGCCGCGGCGCGAGCACACGCCCCCTCGGAGCCCGGGGAAACTCACCGCGGCGTCAGCGCTCGCCTCCTCCGAAGTCCAGGCGGGCTCGAGGGGCCATCGCCGAGTTGTAAGTCCCCGATTAATAGCTCCACAGCTCCCGAGAGCGCGCCGCGTCCCTCATCGCGCCGACGCTCTGCCGCCGGGGAGCCCCTTCTCCATCCCAGACGGCGGCAGCTCCCGGCCGAGCACGGGGGGCGGTCGCGCCGCCGCCTGCGGACGCCCAGGAGCGGCTGCCTGCCCGGGTGGCTTCGCTCGCCCGCCCGCCCGCCCGCCCGGCCTGTCCAAGCAAGGGAGCGGGAGGCGGGGGCTTCGCACGCGCCGCCTCCCGAGCCTCGCTCGCCGGCGGCACTCGCGGCGCCGCGTCCTCCCGGCCGCCCGCCCGCCCGCCAGGCGGCGGCGGCGCTTGGGCGGCAGCGCCCCCTGCAGGCCGCCGGCGGAGCCGCGAGAGCGGGGAGCCCGGAGGGGGACTTCGGGGGGAGGGGCGGGGAGGGGAGGGGAGGCTGCCTGGCCGACGGACGATGCTCGCGGGAACTTACTCAGGAGTAGGTCTGCTAGGAAGCCGAGCTGCGCGGCAAGGCGCACTTGCTTGGGAGATCCGGGCAGCTCAGTGGGCTTCCCGGGGAGTAGCTGGGCTGAAGTGCTGCCCACAGTCAAATCTTCGTGATGGACGCATTTAATCGACGTTTTCTCTTCCTGATTTTCCTCTAGTCCTATTTTCTTCTCCGTATAGTTCCGTTCCTAGAAGCAAGTGCAGTGCACAATCTTTAAAGTCGCCTTCCTGGGTTCCTTCCAGATAAAGAGAACAGCTGTGGATGAAGCTGTTGCAAAGGGACAAGCAGGTCCCATGTCTTCCACGATCACAGCCCTGCCTCCTGGGTGATAGCCGGAAAAGACCCTGCTGCCTTGGCAGTCCCCACTCCACCCCCAAGCCTGTCACCGCTTCTTTTCGTTCACACACCCCTTCGCAGAGTGGGAACCTCCAAGTCAGCTCCCGCACCCCTGCACACCAGCCCAAACAGTGCTGGACTACGATTCCCATAACCCTGGGGGAGAATGAGGGGAGCAGTCAGCCTCACCTGCAGAGAGGCCTTCATGGTAGGGAGCCACTCAGTGGGGCTGAAGGTCCGGCAGTTGTACCAATTCCCTCCTCCCTTGTGCCAGGTCTGCTGAGAAAATCAGCCACACGGCACAATCCTAGGTACTCAGACGTGAGCCCCACTGAATTCAGTGGGACTCCCAGCCCCATCTGTGTGAAGGCACATGCAGATGCCCTAGTTTTGAGAGTGACCAGGCAAAGCAACGAAGGCCGGCTGAGCCCAGGGAACCTACCGTGCCCAGACACGGTGCACAGGGCAAGGATTCATGGCATAGTTGGGTCAGAAGGGGCCAGGAGGGCCACTGGGTCCAGCCCACTGCTGGTGCAGGACACCAAGTTGCACCACCCCATTCAGATGACTATGCACCTCGAGTGTCTCCAGCGGGGGAGAGCCCCCCACCTCTCCTGGAAACTGTATTGCTCTGACGGTGAGGAAGTTCTTCCTTGTGTCTAATCTGCACCTGGCGTCGTTTAAGTTCATTGTTCAGTGTCCTACACTCAGAAATGGGTAAGGAGAAATCTTTTCCTTCCTCTTTGGGACAGCCTTTCAGGTACGTGTAGAGTGCTGTCATTTCCCCTCACAGTCTTCTCTTTTTAAGACTGAACATGGACAGCTCTCCCAGTCTCTCATCACAGGGCTTAGTTCCCAGACCCTGGGTCATCTTTTTTGGCCCTCCTCTGAACCATTTCTAGTTTTTCTACATTTTTTTGAAAAATGGAATGCAATAAGTATATGTAAATGAAGCTCATACAGTTGGTCTTTCTTTCTAGCAAGGGGCGATTGCTTTCTTTCTGACCCAAGAAAGTGCATCATTCCTTCAAGGTGTCTCTGCTGAGTTCTGATATGTTTATTGAAGTTTTGTTCAAGAAAATAAAATTGGGAGACCGTCTCTGCAGGGATGTCACGAAACAGCCTGCACCATCATAGCAACTGGGGGATAGTCAGTCCTGTGTGCTTTGCATATGTGTCCTGCATGGAGGGCTGGGTTAGAACCATCACACTCCGCATATTTTATCGAACTATTTCTAGATTTGTGTACTGCCACCAGTCAAGGATCCCCTCAAAATATCATGCTGAAAAGGCAGGAGTTGAGCTGAAGCAGAGAAAGTGGATTTGCGTTGCTGATGGACGAGAACATAAAGCAAATCATAGGACGCAACCGTAAGAAAAGACTGCATGAAGGATTAGCCCCAAAGAAAGCAATGGAGAGGGGGCATGAGCCCACGGATTGCCCTCTTTCTCCATTTCTATTTAAAGGGGTAACAAAAAATCTTTGCTCCCCTAACATTGGCCTTCCCTTCGCAATACTTCCGGGGTCACACAACATCCTGTGGGTTGCCAAAGAAGCCAGTTGCTACCTTTACTTTGTGGCTAGTTGCAGTTGAAACTATGCAGCCGGTCAATGTGCAGGGGGAGGCTGCATCCCCCCCCCCCCGTAAAGAACCGAATGATTCTGCCCAGTGGTCCTGGCATGAGGATTTGGGGTGGGGCAGCCCTTGCTGTCAACCCAGAGCTGAAGGGCCTGCAATACACCCTCCCCCCAGAGAAGGTCTCAGCAGAAGAAAAGGGGCATATGGGTGCCTCAGGCCAAGCCTTTCCACTATAGGAAAAAAGAGAAATGCTGTGGCACAATGCGCCTTAATAAGATGCTGGCTGTGTATTATGGAGAGCAGCAGGTTAGACGGAGGCAGCCTCCCCCAACCCAGCCATCTCTGAGATGGGTGTTGGAATACAACTGCCAGCAGGCCCAGCTAGCAGGCCACTGTGTGTGTCGTCTGGGAACGGCAGGCGCTGCAGAGCAACAAACCAGGAGGCTGCTGGGCTGGGGAAGGCCGTTCCTGAGCCTGTCTGGCAAGGCTCAGCCAGCAGCACCCTTGAGCCAGGATCTGACTTCCTTGGGTGCGTTGCTAGAAGAGAGGCTCCAAGGGTGGAGTTCAAGAAGATGGACTGCGTTTCTTTCCAGGAGTTTTGTGATTTGACACAGCACACAAGACAATCAAGCCATTAGTGGTGGTGGTGGTAATGGTTGGCTTCAAGAGGCTGGGCTACATGACCTTCCACATGTTTGATAATACGAATAAAAATACTAATGAAGGAGATGATGTGCTGCATTTTGGAATATTCTTCCAGCTATTTACTGAACAGGGACTAGAAGAGTGCGGCAGAGTGTCACATTTTAGGCAACACCCCCCTCTGCTGGCCAAACGAGATACTGCTCTTGTGGACAGACGGGTGAACCAAGCCTGCACAATCTTACCTTGGGATGCTCTGAACACAGATCAAGGCCTGCCCTGACAGTGGAGACCTCTCGGGCATCTCTTCTCTACCGTGCTTTTCACTGCATTGCATTGCATTGCATTGCATTGCATTGCCTGTCTTTTTGCTTTCCACGGGCTCCCTTTTCCACACACGGTTTAAGTGGCTTCTTTTGGTCCTTTTTTTAGGGCACATACAGGCCACCTCTCTTCCTAGTTTCTCAGGTATGTTGCTTTATCCCCAGCTCAGCCTGATTTTTGTCTTCACACCATCCCTGCCTGGGTGCTAGGATGGAGACATGGTAACTGGTCCCATGGTGAGCTTTCTAACTGATTGGGATATTTATATTCATATTTATATTTTTTATATATGTTCCTTCAAGGAGCACAAGGCGGCTTACAAAATCCTCCTCTCAATCTTATCCTCACAACAGCCCTGTGAGGTAGACTAGGTTGAAAGTCCGTAACTGGCCCAAAGTCACCCAGTGAGCTTTGTGGCCAAGCGGCAACTAGAGCCCAGATCCCCAGAGCCCAGGCCAAGCCTCTAACCACTACTCCGTGCACACACTGTTTCCCAGGCTGCAGCCCCAGCTCCATGACCACAGCGCCACCTTGTGGTGATGTAGTGGAACATGTAAAAGGGCAGGAAAAGAAAAATCCCAGGGGGAAAATACATGTAAAGGAGCTAATCATAACCCTGCAAAGAATGCAGAAGCCCCACAACGCCCTGATGTCCCTCCCATTGAAGTGAATGGGGAATTTCTCCCATGTGGAAGTCCTGTAAGTGAACCTTGCACTAGACTATATGGGCACTGGTATGAAATAAGCTGATGTATTGTCACAGATTTGGGGTCTGCCTGAACGACTTTTCAGAATTCCTTTTCAAGCTGGTACCTCTGATTGCAAAGCAATTTGCTGTAGCAGGAAGCCTCTTTTTGCTCGTTGCCAGGTCTTGCCGGATACGCCTTGAGCGTTACTTGAATGGAACTTGATTTGCCCTTTTGTCCTTCTAGACCAAGGAGGTGGAGGCTAAGCCTGTTGTTCTCAACAGTTCTGGAGCTGAGATCTAAACTACACACTCCATTGAATAAGTGTGTAGCCCGCAGCTTATGCCTGACCTGCCTTTATGTTTGCATAAACCTTGTATTGCAGAAACAGCTTTGGTCTTGAGTGATTTCCTTCTGAGGAAATCCACCCTAGGTAGGGACACCTCCCCCCCCCCAGACTCCTCATGGAGCTGGGGTGCAGAAGGGAGGAACTTCACCCCCCCCAGCAGCTTCAATGCCACCTGAGAACACCCCAGGATGTGGATGGCACAGCTGCCTTGATGGGGGAATGGGATGGACTTGGACAGGATAATAACCAAGGAAATTCACCGGATAGATATTCCTGCAGGGCATTGCTAGGCATGGGCCGGTGGGGTCCCAGCCTTGAATCTTTCCACCTAGGCCTCAGCCCTGCTCCCCAGGATCCTAAGGCCCAGGTGTTGCCAATGGATGTTTCTCTCTCTCTCAAAGATAACCAGCAAGGTATTCACCACCTATACTGCAATACATGCACCCAAATTTTCCAAACATGACAATTAAACAAGGCTGGCTTAGCCATTTGTGAGGCTTAAATAAGTCTCAGTAGTTATTTCTAAATTTGCATATATAAATATAAATTAGCATATGCACATTCCATGCAGAGGTGCCTCCTATGGGCCTGACCCTGATCTGTCAGCTGCCTACTAATGCCCCAAAGCAATGCATATAGAAGAAAGATCCCATCCAGATGAAAGCAGAATCTTCGGAGGAAAGTGATGTCAAACAATTCCATAGATAGATATCAGTCAGAGAAAGGAAGAAAGAACAGATTAGAAAGAAGGCTGTTATACTGCTCCAGGCACATGGTGTGAAGTCTAGGTTCACTGGAGGAGACAATATGCTAGGGAAAGGCGATGGCAGAATAAGAGGATGACCAACTACGAGATGATGGATCCCGTAAGGGAAGCCGCACAGTCTTGAGTCAACAAGAGCTATGCAGGACTATGGAATCCATTCACTGGTTTGCTTGAAGTGAGAGAGAACTTGATGGCATGTACTGACAGGATGGATGGAGGGACGGACGGACGGACAGAATTTCTCCCTGGTGTTACACATTGGCTAGGTCCACACAACACAACAAGCAACCCTGCGTGGTTACCACAGTTCACTTTTTTTTACCATGATCTGCCCAACAGAGGATCAAGCTATTTTCTTGTCTTTGCGGTTTCTATTTTCCTTGCTCAGTCCTCCTGCTGCGGACATTACTCCCATCAGCCACTGGGCCTGAAATCAGTCCGAAGGTGCATCTGTCTGGACTGGTGCAGCCACGAATCAAGAGTCAGTGACTGTGGGGTTAGAGTGCCGGACTGGGACTTGGGAGAAAAGTGTAAGACTTCAGTGAGCATAAAACCATCCACCGTGCAAGTGCTTATATGGTACAAGGCTCAACACGGCGACATTTGGGGGAGGCAGGAATTACCTTGTGAGCCATCAAGAGATGATGAGTTACAGTGAAATCAAGGGCGAGATCCTATGCAAGTTTAGACTGGAAAAAGCCCTACAACTCCCAGCATTCCATCCCCAGGTATGCTTGGGTTGTTGCTCTCTCTTTTATCTAAACGTGCAGAGGAATTTACCCTAAATCCATTGCATGACAGTTTATGCTACAAAAACTGAGAATTCAGCAAGTCGCATGACTGAATTGAAGTAGGACCAGTCCGCCAGTCCGCTGTTTACTGTACAAAGACTTGCCAAACTGCACGGCACAGTCCAGCCATGTTTCCTCGTCTCCAGGGTGCCTGCAGCCACAAGCATCTGCATTTATTCCAGAGTAGCCCTATTAAATTCCACATGACTTCTACAGCATAATCGATTTGTGGAAAGCAACCTCAGCCTTCTTCTCCCAAGCGTCTACTAAAGCAATACATCGTCTGTATATGAGCCCTTGATCTATTTGGTTTGATACAATTAGGATAAAATTACTGTTACATCACCACTTTGAAAAATCTCCCCCGTAGCTTCTTGGAAATCATGTCCTGAAATTTGGCTAGCTCAAACAAACAGAAGAGAAATGTTGTCTTCAACTTTTGTTACTGCTTTAAAGCTTTTCCTTGCTTTCTAAAAAACTTCACAATTCTGAATGGAGCTCTTTTGCGACATTACACTATGCTTGACCTGCTTCATCACCAAGTGTATCTTCAGCCCAGAGATGCAGCTAATGCTCGTTTTCTAGCAAGCATACCTAAATGAGACATTTTGAAAAGCACTGGTTTGTCACTTTTATGTATCATGTTGTAGGAGAACACTTGACAAAATCTTAGATATGCAGTACTGCTAAAATGTGTAATGTGAGGCCTTTGATTTTAGACTTACATATTGAACAAGGTTCCACTGAAAGAAAGTGACACACGCATGAGTGGAGAGAAAGTTGAAAGTGACACGGAATTCTGTACGAAAGTTTCAAGAAACAGAGGGAAAGCTGAAACAAAAACCAATGTATCTGAAGTCTCAAATTAAAGCCCATTTCAGAACCAGTGTTTAGTGGGTAGAACAGGCTCCAGAAAAGGGGAATTCAAGACTCTTCTGTACTCTGAGTTAATTATTCCACCGATCAAGCCATGTTCTCTCTCAATTTTCCAACTTCAAAATGGGAAATCTAAATTAATCTTGCCATTTCTTCCACTGCCATTGCACTGGAGCTCAGACCTGGCCAATTCAATTGACTGGTCTGAGACAGACAAAAAAGAAGCACCTTTTCATGCGATGTCTAACCAGTCTGTGGAACTCAGTACCACAAGATGTGGTAGTGGCCACCAGTTTAATGTGGGGTGTGTACATGCATGTGTGTGTGTGTACAAGTGCATTTAAAAGGTTTAAACTAGCTTTTTGCAGCCTGTTGCACTTGAGATGTGTTGGATTATCAATGTGTTGAACCACTGATGTGTTGGATTTCCCTGGCTGGGACCTGCTGAGAGTCGGTGGTTCTGCACATCTGGAAGGCTGCAATAGACAGTTTCACCGAAGAGGGATCCATCAATAACTATTCCCCATAAATTGCCCAGGAGGTCAGCTTCTACTGCTCTCTGGACATGTTATTCAGGACAAACTTCAGCGTTCGTACCCTAAGGGTGCTGAGATATGAGTTCTATCATGCTTCTGTGCTCCTTGCTCTTCCTGATTGACGAAATCCACTGTGATTGGTCTTACAATTTGGACCAGGGGTAATTAGGCCTTATGAAGGTGCCATTTCTGCTCTTCTGGAGGAGGTGGAAGAGAACCTGTTATAGAAAAAGCCAAGTCAGGACCCTTCCGCTCTAGATAATTTTTGCTCAGTGGAGTTGGTAACTTCTCAGCTCCAGGCAACCTTGAGGGGCACTGATTAACTGGAGCCTTTCCAGTTTAGGTTCAGGGCTGAAAACTAGATCGATCCCCTGTTGCATGATAATGCCAGCAAATGGCATGGGGTTGGTGGCCCTTTTGGACCTTTCAAGACATTTCGGCGCCATCAGCCACGGCATCCTTTTGAATTATCTCACTGGGATGGGATGGGACAGACTTTATCTGGCTCAGATGACTGGCCAAAACCGGTCTGAGTCGGAAAAAACCCTACCTCTGCTCACTGCCCCGGTGCTTCTGGATGGGTTCTTGCCGTGGCCTTCAGGAAAGCAATTGCGATTTGCACTTGCATCATCACTTGATCTGTTTATTGTTTCCTAGCAATGACAGCAAAGTGGTTACAACAATATACACATTGTGGTGATTCCAGGTGCATTTATTATATGAGGTCACTCCCAGTAGAAGGAGCTGTGTCAGCGAATCATGCAGAGGCTGTCTTGATCACACAGGGAGACCACAAATAAAATGCCAAGATCCTTGGGGCAAAACTGGTTGTTCTTTTTACCGTAAAGTACCATGGGGGATGATGATGGTGTTGATGATGAAGATGATGGGCAGCCTTCTCTTCAGACACTTCTACTTTTCATGCATTGTTCACATTAGCAATCGCATTATGACTGTATAACCATACTTCTGGTAAATCGTGATGAGCACGTTTGCCCCTGTTCCCACAGAATGCCTCAGCTCAGAATAGTTTTATGTCAAAGCAAGTTAATCTGGGATTAGTTGGGACTGGGCTAAAATAAGTCCATTTGAATTGAGCCCCATCTTTATCAAGAAGCATGAAAGAGCCCAGAGGCCTTCTTGGCCCCAGTCCTTCCCAAAGGGTTCCTCTCCAAGCAGGGTTTTTCCAAAACTTACTTGGAAAGGGGAATTGGTAGCAGAGAAGCTTTCTGACAACATAGGTATCAGGCCAAAGGCCTGAATAGCTTCTACTGCATTTAGGAAACATGTGAACTACAGTTCTCAATTCTCTCTGGGTCAATCTGTTGAGCCAGGAGCATTGGCATGTCCATTTCTCTGGCTTTCTGGTGGCAATGGATACACCCACCCAAGCATTCAAGTCCTAGCTTGAGTCTCTGGATATCAAAATTCTGTTCAGGACTGGGACTGACCTGACCTGCAGGAGCCTACAGAGAACTCTCAGACAACCAGAAATCTGACCTTGGAGCCATTCAGAACCAGGACAAACCTGCAACACTAGAGAAAGTCCAGTGCTTGCCCAGGTTTTCTAGACTGGTCCACCACAGACAGAGTTAGTGACAAGAGGAAGCTGGATTCTGCTCCCACAGGGGCAAGGAAGTCATCATCCATGTGGCCATAAGCTCACTCTGCCACAATAAGAGAAGAACTGTCAACAACTGCAATGATGGCATCTGAATAGAAGAGTTATGGTTCTTCAGTGGTTCCCATGCATGACACACACACACACACACATGAGCCATGTTGAATGCCATGTGGTAAAAAGAGAAAAACAAGTGTTTATAATGTGGGGGACGGAAGCATCCTTGGATTCCTCTGCTGTTCGTGTATTTGATAAGAAAGCACTGGCCGGGTTTCTGCATTGCACTGTGTCTTTGCTTTAATGCTATTCCAAGGTGTCCTTAACAAGCATCTAAACATCAGGCTTCTTGCCTTTGTCTAGCGATCGCTGGCCATCCTTTGGTTTGCTGCTGCAAGGAGGCTCCACTCTTTCCTCCCCTAAGCCATCGCCCGGAGCTCCAGTAACACAGTGGTAGGATGGAGGGATAGATTCTGAGGACGGTGTTTGGGATTTGCCTGGGTTCCCAATATAGTTTTCATTCATCAGATGTGCAACGAGACCTTCTCTTTCTGGAGCATCTTCATCAAGGATATCACCATCACAGTTTTTGTGGCGGTGTAGGAAACAGGCCTGCTTCATGGAGCGTTGAAGCAAATGTTTCCGGAAGGCCCTCTGGATGATAGCAGCATGCGTTTCCTCATACTTCCGCTTGAGTGTGGTGGTGATCGGTTCGTAGGAAGCCTTGGATGGGTTGGCCGCCATGAATTTTTCCTCCATATGTAGCTTCAGGGTGTCCATCTGGCCAGAGTCTCCGAGCACCCTTTTGGTGAAAGCAAAAAGAATGTCCAAGCAGTGAATCCTGTCCCCACTGACCATGGGAAGATCCATTGCTGTCAGCTCATGTTTGTTTGGCTTAGGTACACGCAAAGGCTCGGGCAGAGCATGTGCAAAGTCAGAAAGCATAGAGAATGAAATGAACTGGGTTGCTAGAGGGTCAAATTTCTCCCATACTTCATAAAACATCTCGAAGTCATCCTCACCCAGTGGTTCAGTGCTCTCTTCTGTGGCAACGTTGAAGTTCTCCAAAATGACTGCAATGTACATGTTGACCACTATGAGAAAGCATATAATGATGTACGTCACAAAGAAAATGATGCCGACTGCAGCATTCCCACAGTCTCCCTTAGAGAAAGTGGAAGGAACTTTCAGGCTTGGATCGCAGAATGGAGGCCCAGAGTTTAACATGGGGTGAAGAAGCCCGTCCCAGCCGGCTGACGTGGTGATCTGGAAGAGGCAGAGCATGCTGTTACCGAAGGTCTGGAAGTTGAACATGTCGTCGATCCCACCTTCTCGGGCAACATAGGCGAAGTTGGCCATGCCAAAAATGGCGTAAATGAACATGACCAGGAAGAGCAGGAGGCCGATGTTGAACAGGGCAGGAAGGGACATCATCAAGGCAAAAAGAAGAGTCCGGATTCCCCTGGCAGACCGGATGAGCCGGAGTATTCGTCCGATTCGCACCAAGCGGATCACCCGGAAAAGCGTAGGCGAAAAGGAAACCAAAATGCCAGAAAGCACATTGCCTGGAGGAGAGAAACCCATAATGAACATCTTGAATGTTATTATGGAACAAGAATATTCCTCAGCAGCTGTTGACTCAAGCTAACCCTTCACTGCTAAATGTTAAAAGAAACCTGGTAATTATTCTCCTCTGCATTTCATTAAGACGATGTCTATCTTTTTCTGGAGACCTTTAAACACATTTGTAGATGATACTGTTCTGTTGGTGTGGGATTAATTTGGGCCACAGTCCAGTCGAAATTAAACTCAGTTACAGACCCAATTCTCTGTGGTTTCTTCCCATATATCTCTGGACAAGCCGCACCACTCCTACTGGGCTGCACCGCCCAGATGCTCCAACTCTGTTGCCCCAGGCATGAAGTGTAGAGAGATTCTCTAATCCTTGCCTCTCCCTCTAGTCCCTGGGGCCATTCCTTTGACCTGTGCTTGCCCCCAGCTGCACGACTTGGTGTCACCCAATGTCTACCCCCATCGCCATGGAGGAACCAAAGAGCTGTAGGAGTTAGGGTACCCTGGTCCCCATCTGCTGGGTAGCTTTGGGCCTGTCACTGTCTCTCAGCCTAACGTTCTTCCTAGGGTTGTGAGGATCAAATGGAGAGGAGAAGCTTGTAAGCCACCCTGAGAAGGAAAGGCAGGATATGCAAGTAGTAGAACAATAATTAAGCAACGGAAGGTCCTTCAGGCACCTGATGGGTCCCTGAACCAGGCCACCAGGCACATGCTAACCTGCCCCTTCTCAGCAGAGTGTGGTGAGGCGCAGCTTGCTCGTGCATTCGCCACAGTGCCAGCAAAGCTGCCCACGACCCAGCATTTCCAGAGGGCCCATGGTGATGACACTCCTGATGGTACTGACCTCAGCGGGAAGGACTTGGGTATGTGCTTCATGGGATGCCCAGAAATGCCTAACTCAGTGGGCTGCCAAAAGGAGAAAGGGAATGATAGTAACCAGGAGTGCATTGCCTTGTGGGCACTTACCAACAATGGACATAATCACAACCACCAGATCAAAAATGTTCCATCCATTGGTGAAGAAGTAATATCTTAGAGCCACCAGTTTCAGAACGCACTCCGAGGTGAAGATGACAATGAAGAGCATGTTGATGTTCTTCAGAATGTTGGTCTTCTCTGGCGCTTGGTCATCCGTCTCTACCATCATGGCAACCATATTAAGGCAGATGAGCGTCATGATGGCCACATCAAAAGCTTGGCGAGTCACAATGTCAAAAATGAACCCTTGGTACTTGTTCTGCAGGCAGGAGGAAAAAGATGGCTCAGGATCTGATGCAGGACAAAATTATTTCTAGAATGACTTACCCTAGATGTGTAATCCCTGGAAAATGAATCCAGAGAACAGAGTATCATTTACTCTAACCAGAAAATAAATCCACAGACGTTTAGAATTAATATTAGGGCTCAGCACAAGTGACCTCTTGCCATCGTCTGCCCCATTTGTGAGCTGGAAACTGGGAAACACTTTCACTGGATTTCTCCAGGAAGAGTTGGAATTCCCCACAGATTCTCACAGGTACTGCTCACCAGCTGCAGGGGTTGCCACACAGCATCTTCCTTTTTTTTCTAAGGGGTTGGGGCCAGGGGCTCTTTTGCGCTGGAGCACACACATCAGCAGTGTTAGCAGGTATGTGAGAAGGGGTCCTACTGTGTCCAGTGCCAGAGCAGAGACAGCACTAAGCCAAGCTCTGTCCCCCAAAATTTCTTCCCCCATGAAAGAGGCCCTTCTGTGCTGCTGACAGCTTATTTGGGAAACGGGTGTCTCCGTTTGGTGTAACTCCAACCTTACAGGATGAGTCAGGGGGGCGAGGCAGGACCATTGGCCCGCATGACGTGACAGCAGCAACTTCACGGATAACATGGCCCCTTAGCAGCCCCTGAGCATTGCTTACCTCCTGCAAAGCACCTGCTTTCCCCTTAACAAAGGACAAGGTCAAACGACGCCATGTAGAAGGAAAGAGGGTACCTTCTTAGAAGGCCTAATTTAATACTTTCATTTCCTTACCATTACAGTGACATACCAGAATCAAACATGCCTCACAAATCAAATCAAAGTACCCTTAATTCTCATCCCCAAAATTAAACTTAAACAGTACCAATTAGATTAGCCCACATCAATCAACTATTGAATGTTATGTGCTATCAAGTCATCTCCAGTTTTTGGTGACCCTATGAATGAAACCCCTACAGAATACCCTGTCCAGGGCAGCGCCATTCAGCTCTTCCAAGCTGGAGGCTGTGTCTTTATGAATTCAACCATCTCTTATTTGCTCTTTCCTTTTTGTCTTCTGCCTTTGACTAATCTGCCAAGGAAACCAAGCTTGTTGGCTTTGTTTCACCTTGTTTTACCTTTGATCTAGAACAGCAAATAAAGAGTGTACTCACCCGTGGCCGCGGGATGGGTTTTTGAGGTTTCTTGGATCCTAGTTTTTTCATGGCATTGTAGTATTTTTTCTGTTCTTCAGTCATGAAGATGTCTTCTCCACCAAAGTACAAGGAGATAATGCAACTCATATTATTAAAGGCAGGCTACATTTTGTTTCAACCACAAAATCCTAATTTGAAATAATAATTGTAATTCCTTTTCTTTGAACTTAAGTCCTTTCTGTCATGCTTTATTATGCCCCCAGTAACAGAGTCCCATATTGTTAAAATATGGCTACATTTTGGGCATGTGGGAGTTATAGTAATTAATAATTTTGAAAGCCAGCATAAAAGTACACAGGTGTCTACTGTGAGCAGAACTGGACTTGAAGAGCTGTAGGTTCAACTCTCAGGTAAACCAAAGGCACCTGCAATGTGGGATCCCATGCCCATTCAGGGCGTGGGGGGAAGCTTACAACTCCAGCATGCGCAGCCCTTGTGCTCACTAAGAGTTGTGGGCATTTTCTGTCTAATCTCGCAATAGATTAGTACTCAAAGTGGTTAGGGACAAATCGTCAACCTTTATTCACAGTGTCCCTAATCATGAAGTCACAGTTTACCTTTGCAAGTGATGAGCGTTTTGTTTTGCTAATGTCCCAGTCACATCATGCAGCATCGAAAGCCAGTGTCTAGGCTCTTACGGGAATCCTATGTCTATTCCTTTCCAGAGCAAAAAAGAACATGCCCTCGATCCAGGGAGTGACGTGCTTGCATAGCTGTGCATTCTGCTAGTACATCAAGTCACCATTGCTAAGCTGGAAAGGTGCAGGCCTGTAGCCAGATGGGTGACCACATGTGAAAGTGGAGCAGGGGGTGGGACTTGATGGCCTTACAGACCCCTTCCAACTCTACTTCTGTAATGTGTGGGTTTAAGCCTTTACTCACATAGTCAGGAAGGCATTTTTCCTTATGGGATTCATCAATTTGTATTCTTTTTTTTTTTCTGATTTATATGTATCCCACTTTTTTAAAAAAAATTAAAATATGGAAGTGTCCTTATTCACAGAAACCTGCAGAAAATGCCAACTATTTCTTTTTTGTTAGTCTCACACAGATGTTTCATTGTCTTATATTCTTATCTTACGTCTTCCCCACGTTTCCCATCTCAATGGACCTATCATTTTCATACACAGAAAGCAGTTCAATAGAAGGTTGCCCTCTATTTTGATTCTTAGAGTCCACTTTCCATGGGTGTAAGAAACCAGAACACTCTCTGGATACTTATCTTTTTCTTCTGTTGATTAAAGTTGTCAATAATGACACCAACAAAAAGGTTCAGGGTGAAGAAAGCTCCAAAGATGATAAAAATCACAAAATATAAATACATGTATTTGCTATGTTCCCATTTGGGCTGGCGTTCTACCTGCAAACATGAAAAGCAAGTTGAATGACTTGGGCTGGGAGGCAGCAGGTACTCTGGGCAGCGCCTGGCACAGCCCTGTTTGGGCTCGTTCCCATGTGCCAGCATCGCTGTGCCGCAGGCCTGCGCCTTTCCCCTCCACAGCAGGAGGGGCAGGAGTTCAGCAGGTCCTGGCACTCCTGGTGGCTGCCTCCAAGGAAGACTGCTCTATGAAAATACTTATGTAAAGGCACCCAAAGAACCACATTTGAGCACAGTGGGGGCCAGAGGCAGCTTCCTTCCTCAGGGGGAAGAAGGGGCGATAAGAGGCCCCTCCTCCCTTATCTCTCCCCTTCTCCTATACAAGCACCAGTGACCATATAGGTTCTTAAACCCCCGTAATTGCCCCTGCATTTTGTGGGATGTTGGCGCTGGGGAGGGAAGGGTTCTCTCTCTCTGCCACATGCCCTGCAGCTCCTCCAAGTCAGAGCCCTCCCAGCATAACACAGGTAGCAATTAGGCTCTCAAAAAGGTTAAATCAGTGTCAGTGGAAGCTTTTTCTAAAGCTGGTTGTTGGGTGCTGGGCAAGGAAGAAAGGCAGCTGGGGAGGAAGGAGAAAGAAAATGGGAAAGACAGCACTGAATGGGCAGATGAAGAATGTCAATTACTCTGTGCAGACATATGAGGGGAAGAGGAGCAAAGAAAGGTTGTCTGAGCAGGACAGGATGTGTGGGATGGCTCACCACTGCTTTGGGACTAGCTACAGCCAATTTTGACTCAGGTCACCGTATCTCAGAAGGCTTTCTATGGGAAAAGGATCTCTACCCCTGTGCCACACCTTAAATTGCCTTGTTCCAAGCCACTGACTGCCCTAGGGAAAAGGCCAGGAGATACTGAACATTCTGCTATCAGGACGGGAGCAAGTTGCACTAGATGCAACAAGATAAAATAGAAGGACTAGACACAACACTCCCACTTCCAACGGAAGCTGCACGTTGCATTTAACATTAATTTAGGCTGTGGAGAGAACACCTTAAACTACTACGGTGCAGTTGCACAGGATCAATCATTTGTCAAGGTCACCCTGAAACAAAGAAGAAAAACGTGCATTTCTGTAACTTACACCTACGGAATCTACTGCCGCATACATTATGTCCATCCAACCTTTGAAAGTTGCCTAGAGAAAAACAGACGAGAATAAATATGAAGAAGACATGCCAAAGGAGCACTGAATGAAGGCAGGGAGATGGTACAAATTAATTGCACCCATTTTCCATTGTATTGGACTGATAACTGCACCTGAAGCATGGCCTCTAAAAAGTGTAGGTCAGAGAGCAAAGCACGCTGGAGCCTCGGGGTGCTAAGTAAATGTTGCCAATAAATAAATAGGGGTTGCAGGCTTTGGCCCTGCTGAGCTTGAGCTCTTGGTCGCTGGTGTTCATGAAGAGGCCACAGCTCAGTAGGAGACTCCAACTTTTGCCTACAGTGAGTCCCAGCTTCCATAAACACAAAGGCTTCAACACATTTCCATGTGCAGTTCCGGAGAGTTGCTGGTCACATTAGACAGTATTAGGGCTGGGATGAAACCTTCCAGAATCCGTCCCTCGAGCATCCACAGACTTCCTCTTGAGCTTAGCCCGGTCCGGCAAAGCAAGCTGAGCCGAGAGGAAGTCTATGAACACCTGCAGAGTCATTTGTGCATTAACTTAAAGTGGAACTCTTAAACAGGTGTGAGAGGTAGTTTTGGGATGGATGAGCACAAACGAACTGAAGCTGAATTCAGCTGAAAGGGAAGCTGGGGAAGCCAACCAGCCTGGGTGGAAACTTTCAATCAGTTCTTCAAGTGAAGGACCAAGGTCACAGCTCTGGGGGTTCACCTGGATTCAGCACTACACATGGCCGGGCAGAGGTCAGCAGTGGAAAGGAGTATGCCAATCAGTGCCAGGTATGGTGCAATCTGGGAATGGGGGACCACACCTTTGTTAGCCTGATTACATCCAGACAGCTCCAAACCTTTGACTAGTGCCAAATGCAGTTGCCTGGATGCTTGGCATTCAGAATATATTACCTTTATATTATATTCAAGATGACATCCACAGCATTGGGTACCTGTTTATTTATCTATTACATTTATATCCCACCTTTTTCTTTTTAAAAGAACTTGAAGTGGCTTATATCATTCTCCTCCTGCTGCTCTCAACTTTATCCTCACAAGAACCCTGTGAAGTAGGTTGGGCTGAGAGTCTGTGACAGGCTCAAAGTCACCCAGCTGGCTCCATGGCTGAGTGGGGACTCAAATCCAGATCTCCCAAGTCCCAGTCCTGGACTCTTAACCAGTACTCCACACTGGCTCTCACTTCCGGATTTAATTCAAAGTGCTGGTTTTGCCCTTTAAAATCCTAAATGGCCCAGGTTACTCAGCAAACCATCTTTAATGCATCTCTTGTGGACTCTGGCCACAGAGATTCTGCTCATAAATGCACTAGCTGACACTATTATTTTGGTGCCGGAAAAGTCAGGGTCCTTTCAATGGTGGCCCCTATCCATCAAGACACACATTCCACCCTCCCCCGCCATTTTCTTTTAGATGGTCCCAGAAAACATTTTTCAGTCCACCTTTGGTTGGGAAGTGGGATTGATTTAAAGTATTACCGCTCTTGCTAGTTTATTTTCAGTTTTTTCTGTGTGATGTTATGCAGGGGCCTTGGTGTCTTTTTGCTGCTCTTTAAGGTTTTACATTTTTTACATGCAAATTTAAACTGACTGTGACTTTGTTAATTGGACATCATGTTTTCTTTGCCAGGGCCTAGCCTCAGAGATGCACTGCAATCCAAATTTAATTAAAAATCTGGTCTGGTAGGGTCTGGAACACAGTTCAGTAGTGAACAACCCAAGACCTATGAGTTTGGTGATGACTAGGTATTCATGTGAGGAGGAGAAATGGTTTGGACGTAGACAGTCTGTGAAATGTCAGGATAAATGTGAGCTAATCTTGATCAGTTCTCTCAGAGGAATTGAGTCACTTCCACCCACCTGCTCAGAGTCTGGACTGAATGTAGTTACACTCCATGAGAAACTACCACAAGGTTTGGGAAGGCAGAATAGAAACCCCTTGTTTGGCATGGGGTTCAATTGTAGGCTAAAATCCACACTCAATGTGACCATTAGGCAAAGGTGTGTTATGACAGACCCACCTTTGCTTTTAAGCTGATGCACCAGCTGGGCACCTTCCCTGAAACATCCTTTTTATTGTCTGTCATTGTGTCCATCAGTTACTGCCTGCAGCCTTTATATTTGGAATTTTCCTTTTTATGAGCTGTGAAAAGTGTTTCTGACTGCTTCTTTAGTCGGTGTCACCTGCATTGCCTGCAAAACCTAGAACCCTAGCTGTCTGAGCTATGAATCATTGAGAACCTGCCACAGACTGTATTATTATATTTTTTCATAGAGGCACACCTTGACGGGAACCATTCCAGTCCCTTGCCCTGCACCCAGAATTATGCAAATCATAATGGGAAAGCCACGTTGCATTTTGCTCTGACATAGCTGCAGTTGTTAGCTTTTGACTGTTCCTTGAACTATGTAGTGACCTACAGTTAATTACCATCAGCTGTCGCATTTCTGGAGAGAGAGAGGAAACTGACAAACTTTCGCTGGGTGAGCTACAAAGCTCATCTATGAAACCTGATGTCGTTATCAATAAAAGTTCTCTCCATTTCTGGAGGTTTTTTTTAATCAGCTGGCCTGCATACATTCTTGCCATAAGATGGATGTGTCTTATTGCTTTGTTTTTATTTAGAATCACAATTGCTAGCTCTTTCTGGAAGATTTTATCTGGCAAAAGCAAAAGAGAAAGGGCCTCCTAAATAAACAAATGATTCATAAATGAAATGAGCAGGGATCTGACCCAGGAGAAGGTGGTGTGCTAAGTCAAGCACAATTGGCAAAGAATGAGATTTTACAGCTAAACATGAAAGGAACAAGTCACCAAGGTCAAATGTCCTTCTGGGAGTTTAGAGGAGTCTGATGAGAAATATTCTAATAATTTCTTAAACATTTATAATATATTTAAAAATAACCAAACCACCAAAGAAAGCCACCTTACCAGAGGATTATGCAAAGAAGCTGATTGAAAGGATTCTGGAAAAGGGAGGGGAAACGAAAGTCTTGGAAACCAAGCTAAGGGGTAAAATTACTTTTCCTGTGTCTGAGATTTCATCATGGACAGTGTTGTAGAAACATTCTAAATAAATAGTACATGAAATATAATTATTGCACATACAGAAGAACTACAGTCACAGAGAAAGAAAAGGCATGACTTTTGCAACTTCCTGCATGGATCCAACCATTGGTGGGAACTGCTGCACCAGATTACATCTTGCTTGGAGTTGCGGCAGCCAGATAGGGAAGGGAGGATGGAAACTGCAGGAGAGAAAGGGGGCCACATCTTGTTCAAAAACCTACCACTTGAAGAAGAGCCAGATACCCAATGCCAACGTTGTCAAAATTCACTTTCACCGTCGTCCAATATAATCTCTTCGTTCCATTGTTAATCCTGCAATCCTTTTTTTTCTTAATGATCATCTCATTTATAGAGGCATTTGTGTCAGTCAAGTTAATGCATTTTCCAAACTTCCCTGCAAACAGGGTGACTCCAACAATGCTGAAGATCAGCCAGAAAATGAGGCAGACAAGAAGAACATTCATAATGGAAGGGATGGCACCGACCAAGGCATTGACCACCACCTTAGATGGACAAGGAAAGGGCAAAATGACAAGCACCGGAAAAGGGGGGTGAGGGATGAGTGGAAGGAAAGGGAGAAGCAAAAGGGAGCCACAAACAAAGAAGAGCAAAAAGATCACTTCAGTGTATCAGTCAACTAATTAAACAATGCTTGGTTGATTAATCATCTCGATTCTGATTTAAGCACAGGTACAAATACCAAAGCGTCAATACAGTTCCCATTTTTCAAACATTAATTGAGTAATTAAGGGTGCGATCTAGCACTTATTTAGACAGAAAAGGCTCTTATAAGCCTTATAGATCACATAAATTGTCTTATAAATCACAGTGTATTATGTAACAGCACATTTGCTTTATTTTTCAGATTTAACCTCACCTGTTCATGGAAACGGCCCTTCAGGTGGCCTACAGCTCTTTCCAAGGCATTTTACTGGCAACTGGGTGAACCCATAGTGCCTGGTGCTTGCCAATTATGTTGGAAGCTGGCATGGGGCCCAAATCCACCCCATGGCTGCTGACCTATAGCCAGGAAACTGGGGGAAGGGGCTCCTGGTCATCCCTGCACAGCTCTGTTTCTTTAACAAGCCAGAACCAAGCCATGTTCCCCTTGAGTGTTGGCCCACAAGTTGAACCTGTCAACCTGGCTGCCTGTTACACAACCAAAGACATCCACTGGAGTAACTGGCTTCAGAAAACTACCCCACCCCATACCAGGTTTCCCCCTTTAAGAAAACCAGTCCTACCAGAGACTCATTCCATCTGGAGATGTATACTTCAGCAAAACTCTAAAGTTTTCTCTGACTTTCACCTCAGCACTCATTCTGACCCATGCTCATATTGGTTTGCAAGCTTTATTTTTTCCAGCATAAATGCCATGTCATTTCATGTTTAGCTTTCCCAACTTGTGCATTAATTGTGCACATTTATGAAATGCATACATTTTTCTCTAGATGACTGAAGTGTTTATGTGCACTTTCAAAAGAATTTTTGTTTGTTTCATAAATTGTGGAGCAAGCCCAGAAAGGTATGGACTTCGACTCAGACTATGTTTCAGTCCACATTCAGTTCTGGGATGACCAGACTGAGTAAATTATGCTCAAAAACAAACTGGAACACATACATCCTGACTTCCACCATCATTTCCTGGTGACTGGAACACACAGAGCCTCATTTCCCCCTGAATGTACAAGACAAGTCTGTGGGTGTGTGATCTGCTCCTGCACATGGTTGACCATATGTGGCACAAAGGTTGGGTGAAGGTTCACTGCCGGGAGCAGAGCATGGAGCCCATGCCAGATGGCCAGACCTATTCCCATTGTGATCTTGACCCAGACATGGCCAGGGTTGTATGGCCAAATTTTGTTGCAGTACAGGCATTGTCAGGACTCAGGCTACTGTCTCCCATTGCTAAGGGTGCATCCTCACACTGTCCAGGGGGTCAGAGGATTTATTTTATTTGATTATTTTTGTGGAGACCTCTTCCTTGCAGCTAGTCTGGAAAGAACTGTGCTGGCTGCCTCTGCAACATCACAACAGGGCCTTTGAGAGAGCCCAAAGGGGAATGCCCAGCTGCCTTCCCTCCCGCTCCTCACAGCTCCATCTGGAAGCCTCCAAGTTTGAAGGCCTGCATCCAGCAAGGGCTGGGGGACGAGGACAGCATCATAACGCACTTCTCAGCTTGATGCCAAGTGTACCATGAAGTCACCCTTCCTATCAGCCCCATCATGATCATAGAATCATGGAACAGTAGAGTTGGAAGGGGCCATGAAGGCCCTCGAGTCCAACCCCCTGCTGTTGCAGGACACCACGTTACACCACCCCCTCAGATGGCTGCCCAGTTTTGCCTTGAATCTCTCCAGTGTGGGAGAGCCCATGACCTCTCCAGGCAGCTGGTTCCACTGTCCTATTGCTCTGACAGTGATCACTGTTGTATTGCTCCAAGACAGGATGAGACCCCCTGCTTGGTTCTCTCCTCCTTGGCACTAAGTCAAGATGGCAATGAAAAAGGTGGTCAAGCATACCCGCCCCTTCCAACCTGAATAGGCTTTGCTGAAATGGGATCCAGTTCTGCTCATCTGAAACAGCTTTCTTATGAAAGGGTTTAAGCAGGGCATTTAGTATACAGACAGAATCCACCATTTCTTTTCAAGGGGTTTTAGAGATTCTCGTTTCCTTTCCCCAGGTTCCCTTGGTTTCTGCTGAGACAGTATGGAGGAATAATTCCTCCTCTGGGAACCATTCTTAGGTGGGATAACCATTAGGTAAGCTGCCCTACCTGGGTAATCCCTGCTTTGCCTATTAGCGAACATTTTGTGAGCAACAGGAGTTCCCCAGCATCCCTTGCCAACAATACAGTGCCTTCACACAAGTGATACAGGCCTTCTAGAAGGACCCACCTTTGTCTTCTGAGAAACAGTAATCTAGTCCTCAAGCCCCCTTCATTACCCACCTCCCCACCCAGTGCTGCAGCTCTCAAAAGAAGCCACTTTGACATCAGTGGCCCTGTTCAGAAGCCATGTGTCATCATCTTACCCTCATCCCTTCGAATCGTGACAGGGCTCTTAATGGCCTCAAAGCACGTAGGGTCCGGAGGGATTTCATGGGGCCCATGTCCGATTTCCCCAGCAGATTTGCTACGAGGGTAACTAAGGAGACCTGAAGAAAGAGCACAGGGGGAACATTTGGGAAAGCACAAGGGAAGAGTTTCATTGCATGTCTCATCTCCCTCCCCACCACACACAAACCTGCACACACCAAGAAGAGTGAAGAATATTAAGCCTGGCCGTGGGACAGCCACCATAATGGCCATTAGCCAGGTGCAACTGGGAGAACTGGTCCAACCAGAGAAGAGACTTTCCGAATGACAGGCTACCAAGTGGGGCAGACTGTGAATGCAGTTCATGGCAATGCTTCAGACAACACCACACGCTATAGTGGTACAGAGAAGCCAGAGAACAAATTTACCCTGGTGAAATCGTATGACTGGGTTCAGGCAACCCAATAGATGAGCAAAAATATAGATAAATAAATAAATATTGCATAGCTTGTTATGTTGTCTGAACCCAGGCACCGTCTATTACCAGAAATATTTTTAACTGAAGATGCCAGGATAGAACATTCCAGAGGCTGGGCCTGTGGGCCTTTGGCGTGGGCAGCGCTCAGTTCTCAGGCACTGAGCAGCGGCCAGCCAAAGCCTCCTCGGGGCTTCTTTACCAAGGCATTCATTGCGCTCTTGTGGGTCTCTACTCATAGTAGTTTGCAGGTGCTTTACATGATGCCATCACTCTCCAGGGCTTCTCCTGTGCTTCCTGACCATTCCCACACCTTTTTTAGAGGAAGCAAAGGTGAGCTATTATTTGGCTATCACACCAAATTGACCCAAAACAAGTGCCTATTTGCACAACTGTGCTATATCATAGTGCCACCTTGTGGTTGTGTAATGGAACATATAGGAAGACTGAGGAAGAAAAGGCTTATGGGGGGAAAATAGCACATGTAAAGGAGCTGATGTGAATCTTGCAAAGAATCCAGAAGCAGAAACGTCAGTAACTGGAGAGTTTTAAAGCCTCATGTGGAAAAGCCCTAAGACGCAGCCCTGTGCTTTGATTAGGCAAAGAACCTTCAGGAAATCCCAGCCAAGCTCCTTTAGATGTCAGTGTAATCCGTTCCATAGAATAATTTGAATGCAGTACTTACATCTACAATTAGGAAATCAAGCCAGCACCAGGCATTGGTGAAATACTTGTGGAATCCATAAGCCACCCACTTGAGCAGCATCTCTAGGATAAAGATGTAGGTAAATATTTTGTCTGCATATTCAAGCATTATTTTAATGTTCCGTCTGTCATTCAAGTAAATATCTTCAAATGCCTGAAATAAGAAGAAATCTCTTGCTAGTTTTCAAGTAGAACTTTTAAGCTGCTGAATGCTTTACACATTTGTACTCTGGACTGTATGCATAGCACAAGTGTGGCATCACAGGGCACAAACATAGCACTAGAGTGTGCCAAATACTTATCCATGAAAATCTGGGGAACACAAAGGGGTTTCAGTAACAGTTTGCATTTTTAAAAAGTCTACACAAAAATCAGCATACATTTTCCTGCTCATTTCTCCTATTATATGTGTTTTGTATGCATTTTGCCTAATATACACATTTTTGCATTTTTCCCTACCACATTTTGTATGTCATTTTCACATGCACATTTAACCCTAACATATGCATTTTTGTGCATAAGTTTTGCGATCAGAGAGAGATGTCACAACATCCAGACAGGTGTGAATGCTGAAAGACAACGACACGTCAGCTTGCATACTGAATTCTGAAAATCTATCAGGGAGGGTCACACGCAGGTGCAAATGACATGCATTTCTTTGCCCTTCCAGAGCTACAGCCAGTGGCAGGAGGCCCTGCATTGGGGCACGTTTCCTTATTGGAACGGGGTGCCTGTTTAGAAATATAAATCCTTTGTTTTGCACTGCCATGTGTGGTTGGAGCTTAAGTCCCAGGGCGGCGGTGGCAGCGGCGGCGGCGGCATCATCATCATCATCATCTTACATTTATATACCACCCATAGCCACAGCTCTTTGAGCAGTTCACAACATTTAAGTCACCCATCCAGTTTTCAACCAGGCCTGTCTCTGCTTCGCTTCCAAGCTTAGGCAGAATCAGGCCCTTCAGTTTATATGGAAGCATGTTAGACAATCGGACGAGTTCACATACCAGAGCACCACTGCTCAGTAGAATCATGAACACAATGAAACTTTCAAACCAGTTGTGTTCTACAATTCGGTAGCACGTCTTTCTCAGATTCCACCACAGTTTGCCCAGAGATGTTGTGCTATTCGCTGAACACCAAGGATAATGTCGAGTGCATCCTGAAAGAGGGGCAGAGTAAGTAACACGCACGATGGGACCAGTGCAACCCTTAACAATATGGGCGGCTTACTGACTGCCTTTAATAACACCTCACGATCAGAACACAGAAGCATCAATGGTCAGCAGGCGGAATCATTTTGGTGGCAGCCCTCTGAGCTGACCAAGGGCACAAACCTGTGCACAGACTTGTGTGGGCTGAGGCATGCTGAGAGCAGCAGGCCTTTCCCAGCACTGTTTAAGCATCCATAGGATTGTACCTGACGAGAAAGCTTACTTTCTGGGAAGCAGTCGTTTGGCTCCATCAGCTCCTCGGATAGTTCGGTGATGTTCTTCAAAAGTTCATCTGGATCTCTGATATCCACACTGCTTCCTTCTGAACAGCTTATAGCATCAACATTCTACAAAGAGGAGGATGAGGAAGAAGAGGAGGATGACATTTTTCTTTAGATTAGGCATTGTATCTCAGACCCTCCTGCCTTAATGAAGCGATCAGACAGCTATCAATTTCAGTGTCTTAACTAAATGTCAGAGCCACCAAAAGAGTATTCGGGTGATTCTCAGTCAGCAGCCCCTGTCCTTCAAGAAATTCAGTGATACAGCCCATAAAAGGAAGGTATTCGGCACTCTCTGCTTGGACTTGTCATCTACAATTTAAATTTTCAATCAGGGTGCCATCAAATTCTGTGCTACCATCCAGATTTTTGTGGATTTTCTGTGCTTTTCCACATCTGTGAATGAGCTTTACCTCTTTTTGCTTTGGTGATAAGGACCCAGCTTTCCACTGGGCACTCAGTTCCCCCAGAGAAGAGATTTCAGACGTTCGACTCCAGACGTCAGAGCTCTTGCTCCGATCTCCTCTCTGTCGCAGCTGGTTTTCTTCCTAAGGGGAAGTCACAGGGGTTGGCTCTGCAGATCATTGTACTGGGACTTGTTCTCTTTTCATGAAATGTTTCCCACCACTGAGAGCTAAAACCATGCAAGTTAAAGAGAGGCAAAGGGGCTGATGCTTGTCAGAGTGTGAAGCTGCAATATGAAATATTTAATAACACACAAGGGGCTGGATTCTGGGTGGGACCGTGGCATTGGGTGGCAAGGAGAATCACCCTAACGCCATTTCCCCAATGACAACAGGGAATTTCCACTGGGAAGAGAACATGAGGAAAAGGATCACTGCCTCTCCCTTCACACCACCTTCCCATCAGAATCTCCCAGTCTCTGCATCTCTTCATTTTCATTTGTTCAGGTTTACATCTACATCAGCCTTTTGGCAGGCAAGGAAACCAAGAGTTTTGCTGAGCTGTTAGTGGAACACAGGATAAGGCTGCTGAGCTGAGAAGGGCTTGGGAAAGCAGGTCTTGTGCATTTTCCCATCTTATTAGGAATCCAAGTCAGCTTACATCCTCTTCCTTCACTCCGTGTTATCCTCACAGCAACAAACCTGAGAGGTAGGAGAGGCTGAGAGTGCGTGACTCATCCGAAGTCACCCAGTGAGCTTCATGGTCAAGTGGGGACTAGAACCCGGATCTCCTGGGTCCCCAGTCCAGCCCTCCCACCACCACACCAGCATGGCTGGCTCCTGTTCTTATCCAATGCGACATTTTCCTGGAAAACATGGTCCTGGACTGGCTCCTCACCTGCTTGTTGTAGTCTATCTCCAGGACGGCACCCCGTTGCTCTCTGGCATCTTCAGACCCCTCCGTATCAGACTCAGACTCAGCAATAGGAACACAGACAAAGACGCTGGGATTGGTTATGAAATCATCCAGAATATTCACGGGGCACCTCTCGGCAATTTTCTCCTCCTTTCCATTTCCGTAACTCTCTTTGGCATTTTGGACACCTATTTTAAGTTCCAGGCCATTTTTCTCAATGTCACATTTTATTTTATTTTGGGGTCCTTTTCTTTTGAACCCAAACGCTTTGGAACAAAAAGCCAACATTGCCTGCTTTGTCGCATGAAGCCCCCTCTGGATCCGAGCAATGGCGACTTTAAGGTTGTTTGTTTCTCTGTCATCTTCTGGGAGCTGCGTGAGGTTGTCGGCACTGAAGGAGTTCAGCAGCAGCGCAATGAACAAATTGAGAACCTTAAAGCAATGGAAAGGAAACTGTTGAACAAAATCCCTAGCATTAGCTTCTGAATCGCCTGAGGTTCCTGACCCTGCCTAATGTTGCAAGCTAAGCAGCAGCTGGCCTGGTTGGAATCTGGTTGGGAAACTTGAGTCTGCATTGAGCTGGGGGTTGGACCTGGTGGCCTTTAAGCCCCTTCCAACTGTATGATCCTGTGATACTAACATCAGGAGCAGTATTGTGATTATTTTCTGAAAAGAGATGGAAATACCCAATACTAGCATATGTGGACGGGGATAGGAATCAACTAACAATATGGCCGCATTTCACAATATTTATTTATTTATATTACGATTTATATCCTGCCTTTTTCCTACAAAGGGCTCCAGGCAGCTTACATCATCTCTCCTCCTCCATCTTAGCCCCACAACAACGACCCTGTGAGGAAGGTTGAGCTGAGAGTCTGTGACTGGCCCAGAGTCATCCAGTGGGCTCCATGGCTGAGCGGGGAGTAGAACCCAGATTGCCTGAGTCCCAGTCCCATGCTCTTAACCACTACGCCACACTGCCTCTCCAGTGTGCCATGAACAGATTCCAGCCTGGACTTCTTAGGCTACTGTCTCTGAAATAAGACTTGTCACTGCACAATCCATATGCTGTTCCATTAGCAGGAGGGACAGAGAGAAGGAGGAGAGCAAATTAGCAAATTTAGTTCCTTATTTTCTTACCCTTTCCGTGGTTTCTACCACTGTGATTAAGTGATCCCCCCCTTGCCCCCAACTGCCTCTATTAAAACATTTATCCTAGGACTTGCCTTCCAATTTGCCTTCTATGGACTTTCTTGCTGCTCACTTTACTGGATACATTGGGAAGGCAAATTGATACAGAGTGAAGACTAAGACATTTGATCAAGAGGAAATCAACAACAAATTTAGTGTTTTTTCCATACAGGTTTTGAAATCAACAATTAAACAGTTATTGAAATTATATTACTGGGGGGAGGAGAGAGCACAGATCTTAAAACAGTTTGAGCTGGTTTAACGTGGAAGCAACTAGGATGAAAAACACAATGGAAAAACGCAAATCTTGTCCCTAGACTTTCCAAGTCATAAACATGAAGCAACACTTTTAAATTCCTCCTAGTCAGAATAGCTTTCCAATTCTTTGCTTTCAGCTCAGCTTCTTTTGTTCCTGGATTGCTTCTTTCTCCGATTCCTTCTCTTGAACTCTCCCCTTCCTGCTCACAGTTCTGAATATAGAATACAATGGGGTGAGCTCCCGTGCTCCGTCCCAGCTCCTGCCAACCTTGCAGCTCGAAAGCATGAAAATGCAAGTAGGTAAAAAAGGTACCACTTCAGTGGGCAGGTAACAGCATCCCGTGTACTTCGGTGTTTAGTCATGCCGGCCACATGAGCACGGAGACTGTCTGCGGACAAACACTGGCTCCCTCGGCTGGGAAACAGAGATGAGCACTGCCCCCTAGAGTCAGGCATGACTGGACTTAATGTCAAGGGGAAAGCTTTACTTTTATAATACTTCTACATGGGGTTCTCACTCTCTCTTTCTCTCATTCTCTGAGAAGGACAGCAGATAGTATGTTTTTCACCGTTCCCCGTTTAGGTTTCAGTTGCGTCATCTATGAAAAGTTTAACCCCTTTGCAAGAACAGATGCTAGCCTCTTAAAAACCCATATCTAAACAGAAGGTAATCACTTTATAACAAAGAAAAGGCACAATGTGACTAAAGAGTTTCATTCCTTCACAGCAATTAAAAATAAATCAAAACTAACCACTAAATTTCCAATCACCATGACCAGCAGGAAGACCACCAGGCACATGGCTGGGTCAGCTACCACCATGCAATCCCACATGGTCTCAATCCATTCTCCACACAGAATCCGGAAAATAATGAGGAAGGAGTGGAAAAAATCCTCCATGTGCCATCGCGGTTTGCAAATGGTGGATATGTTACAGCTGTTCATCTTGTAGCAGGACCCAAAGAGCTGCATCCCAAAGACAGCAAATATGAAAACAATAATGGCCAGGACGAGCGTGAGGTTGCCCAGAGCATCCACCGAGTTTAAGATGATTTTAATAAGGGTGTTTAAAGTTGGCCAAGACTTTGCCAGCTTGAAAACTCTCATCTGTTGGAGAGGAAAGATAAAAAAGGCATCAGGTTGCACAGTTAAAAGAAGGGTTAGAACAAATGGTCAGCTTCCCTGCTTGTAATCAGCAGTGCACAAACTCTGCCCAGCTTCATCTTGCCATTTCATCCTCCTTTGAAGGACGGCTGCAAATGGACAGCACAGTCAATCCTGCTTTTCCACGATGGGAATAAGCTTCTGCTAGTCAGGCTTACAAGCTGTCTACTCCTCCTCTGGCATGGCCATGAGGAGAAGATGGAAAGCCTCGTCTTTGTTTTTAATTAACCCTAGAGCGATATCCAAAACTTGAAGTGTGCATCACCTGATTGATGGCTTGTTGAAACAAGTCAGTTTCATCATGCTTGGTTTGAAGCTGGCTAGTTTCAAACAAACCATAATTAAGATTAGCTACAATTTGTTGGCTTTAAAGAAAACACCAAAGTGAGGTTAACCAAAACGGGAACTGAAAGCTCACAGCTCCCACTTTCAGCCCCGCTAGAGGAGAGAGGGATTGTGTCAGCCTGAGATTGGTTGGTTTTAATTTCCACCTACTGTTGATGATGTAGATTTGTGACATTTGAATGCAGAAGGAATGGCAGAGATTGAATCTTCCATATGTAAAGCAAGGAGCTATGGCTCAGTCCTATGTCCCATGCTCCCGTGAGGGAGGAAGATTTTAGGGACGTGCCACTTCCAAAGGTCTGGGGGCCACTTTCAGTCTCTGGCACAGGCCACAGTCTGAGGCACTGTAAGCTATCTGCGGGGAGAACCCCTCAAATTGCCATTTGCCACCTAATATAGGTGGGCAAGCACTCCATCGCAGCTAAAGCCATGTGGTGGGGCTGTGTGCAGGGTTGTCCTTTAGACTTCTCCTTCAGAGATACGGGGTGGAGGCTGAGGCCCAGAGGCAACCAAAGGTAGCCAGTCGGCCACCACTGACTTGAAGTGTAATTTTTGTGCAGAATCACAGCTCTCTAATTTATCAGGGAGTGGTGCAGCCATGTCTTTCCCAAGCATCATGGGGTAAGAGCCGGTGTTGGGCCACCAGTTTGAATTCCTCGTCTGGCCATCATTGGACTGGAGAGCCTGGCAGAAGATGCTACCTTTTACCCTCAGATCCTCCAATCTGAAAAAATGCATTCACAGGGCACACCTGGGGATGAACAAGGCAATTCACAGAGCTCTATAAATGTGCATTCAGTAATAAGCTTTTGCATGTCATGGAGCCCATGGGAGATCCTGCCCCAGACCTCCATCAAAAAGTACAACAAAGAAATAAGGGCAAGCCATTACCAGCCTCAAAGTCCGCAAAACGGTAAAGTTTCCTTTCTTGCCTCGCTTGCCATTATCTTTTTTCTCTCTGGGCATGCTCAGTTCAACAATGCTTATAAAGACGATCACACTGTCAAAGATATTTGAGCGTTGCTGAAAATAGTAATAGGGATCCAGTGCAATGTTTTTCAGGATCACTTCTGCAATAAAAATTCCTGTGAAAATCTATAAAATGAAAAATAGTACAGTCAAATCTAAATGAAGCACAATTCAGGGTCAGGGCCAGATCACACCACACACTGACACATCAAAAGTGTGGAGTGGCTGCTTTCATACAGAGCACAAACTAGACATGTGTGAAGAATCCGTTCTGTTGGATTCCCCAGTTTTGGCTTCCTGGAATCCAGTCCATTTCGCAGCAGCCCACTGCGTTTCAAGCCCCATTCCAGCCCCACCTGGAATCGAGTTTCATGTGTTATGCAAGCATCACCCTTCTTCCATGGCCACTGCCAGGAGCAGCAGGTGGGGAAGAAGCTTGGCTGCTGGGAATGGCATCTGGAGAAGGTCGCCGCTTGAACAACTGGGGGTTTGCAAGTGCCCACGGACTCCCTCTTGGCTTCGTTCACGTTCCAGGCCTGGGTCAAGCATTGGAAGAAGCCTGCAGATTCCGGGGAGGAGGGTTCCAGCAGGGGTTGTCCCAACTCTAATGTCACCTTGTGTCTTGAGTTCACACTTTGCGTGCTTGCTATGCACACATGGTTCCCATGCTTCTCCACCTCCACGCCAACGGTGGCATGTGGCCCGTCAGCTCCCGTGGATGAAAATCAGACCCAGGGTGGGATCTCTGCCTGCCTCTCCCTCACTGGCCCAGACACTCCCCAGTGCATGGTCTGGCCAGCAGCCTCTTGTGGGGTTTTTCTGCCACTCAGAAAAGCAACAGCCAGCTCACCAGAGCAGCACCACTGCTCTAGGGGGGCACTCTGGGAATGCCACCCTGCTCTGGGCCAGTGTGCAAACAGCCCCCACACCTACCTCCCTCACTGCACCTGTGCCCACGCACAGAACTCATGCATGCTGCCAGAGGCTGTCTCCCCTGGCACCTGGGCACGTGGAGGGCATCTGTGTGGGCTGGACCGGCCCTGCCAGGGACAGAGGGAGTCCCTCCTGCCAGGCGAGTCCTCCCACGGGTGCACATGACTGCTGTGTGGGCATTCCAAACGGCCAGAAAGAACGTGCCCCGCAGTGCTGGGGAGGGGAGGCAGCGGAATTTGTCGCCAACCCTCAGGAATGCCAGGGACAAGCCAGGAGCAGCAGGGGGAGTGAGGGAGGGACAGAGGGAGGTACCCAGGCTCCTTAGGGCAATCACCCTGAGAGCAATGCCTACTCACAGCCCTGTGCGCCTCACGTGTAAGTCAGCTTCCCATGTTGCTGAAGCAGCGAGCATTTCTAAGGGCTGCTCCAGCAATGTGCAGTGACCAGACCAAAGCGCCAAGTCTCCACGCTTGCTGCAGCCGAAGGCGGCGTGCTACGATGCCCTGTTCCCACTGAGCTTCCAGAGCTCCAGCTGGGCACTGGGAAGGCAGAAAGAGGGGGAAAGCAACACGAGCCAACCAACCAGAGAACAGCTGTGTCTGCCTCAGCAGTTGCTGGGTAGAGCAGAAGGCTGGAGCCCCTGCTGCAGTTGCTCTTGCTGCCAAACTCTATGGTGGGAATGCAGAAACTATGAGGAAACATCATAACTGGGGTCACACATAATGACAAGCCATGGTGAAGCGTGGAAGCTTTACAACAAACCATTGTTTCTCTGCACGGTTTCAAAGAAACCGAAAGTGCCACGCTTCAGCATGGATGCTAGGCTCACCCACAATGCCAAGCCATGCCAGCACATCACAGCTTGTCGCTATGTGTGAATTCAGGCATTGCGTGGGCCCAGGCTGAGTTCATTCCTGATATCGTGCAAGAGCCCAATTTCCCATTGAGGGAGTTGCTGTGCTACTGCATGGCTGCTAGAATCTCAAGTCAAGGAGGGGCTGGTCAGGACAAAGGCTGCGTCAGAGTCCTTCCTCGTCCTCCCTTCTGGGCTAGCACAGGCAGAAGTGATATGCCCAGGTGTGTGCATGCTTGCACCGTGCAGTCATGACATAACATCTGGCTTCTCTGGGTGGAGATAGGTGGCATCTGCTGATGGCAGTGGAGCACCTGTCCTGCACACAGAAGCGCCCAGGGGCTTATCTTGAGATGTCACCAGATCTTGTCTCCAATATACGAACTTTGGATCACTGGACTGGATGATTTTCACAGTCTTGCTATGGGAACTGCTACCACACCCCAAGAGTATAAGAACATTGTTTCAACCCATCTTTGACTGGCTAAGAGAGATTTCCTCAGAGTTGTCAGGGGACTGAACATTAAAGCGGGGAGGGGGGCGGAAAACTTCCTGTGGTCTTTCTATCCTGTCTTTCCTTTGGCTTGTGACTTCAGCATCATCTATTGAGGTCCATGCCTAGGTATGTTGGGACAGGTGATGATAAACTTGCTTGTCTTTTGCCTTGGCACTAAATTCTTAGTCTTCTGTTTGGTTACTGCTATTATTTAAAGTTGCAGGCCTAGGGCTTCAGAAGAGAAGGTCCTAGCCTGGATGTTTGTTTCTTAATATTTCAGCAGCATCCAGTAAGGTCTGCCTACCTTGGTGATTGTTCTCCCCTGCTGACACTGGTGGGAGCTGCGGCAACCCCCTTCCTACCTTCCTTCCTTCCTTCCTTCCTTCACACATATTTCTGTTTCATCCTAGCATTCCTGTCTCTCCACTTCACACCTCTTAGGAGCACGATAAGCCTGCTCAGGTAGGCTGTCCTTTGGGACCCAGCTTTAAGCTGACAAAGCCTTTTAGTTTCAGGAGACATTTCAAAGACACTGTAACTGGATGAAATTGTGTTCTGCATTTGAGGACAGTGTCCTTGGGTGAGTGCATGCACACCCACGTGCTTCTGATATTTGTCTGCAAATTTGGGGACAGGGTGGGCATCCTCCGTCCCTGTGCAAGTGCCACGGCTACATGTGTGCAGGGGGATCCCTAGTCCCCCCACCCCCAGTGAAGCCCCCCCCCCCATGCATGCTTGTCTTCAAGGCTGAGCTGCACAAGCAGCGTACTGTCCATTACCCAAACAAGAGCTGTGCACCCACACACTCAGCCCAGGATAGGTGCTGAAGAGGTGGAGAAGGGAAGGGCGATTCCATCAAGCTACCTGGGGATCCTCCCACACTCCCGCAGGACCGATCCAATGCACACATTTCATGTGTGCGTGACATGATGCTCCTGCAATGCCTCAGCACCCGCATTGCGGATTTCATCCAATGACCAATAGAGAAATACATTTGGAATAACTCACCGTGTTACCAGTCGAAAGCACCGCGTCAAACCAAGGGCTCATCTTGTAGTGCTCGAGTGCCATGAAAAGTGTGTTCATCACAATGCAGAGGGTGATCAGGAGATCCATGAATGGATCCATCACAAAAAGGCTCACGGCCTTCTTGACTTTCAGCCACAGCGGGCAGCACTCCCACACAAAGAGCCGGAGGGCCAAGTTGTTCAGGAAGCGGGGGCATCTCCGATTCGATTCTTCAAGTTCTATACAAAGAAAGAAAGGCAAGTTTTACACTCTCAGAAATAAAAGCCAGCCAAGAATTATGGAAATAAAGGAACTGAAGCCTTTCTGCTGAGCTGGTGTCACCGTCACACGACAGTATCGTTAGTCCAGTGTCACTGTCCTCCCGCCTGGTCCTGAGCCCAGTTCAGAATAGGGGTTGTTATATTTCAATCCCCTAAACTTACCATACTGTAAACCTCTGCTTTGCTGATAGGGTTTACTTTGGTTTTGGTTTATATTTTATACCATACTTTTAAGTTTTTGAAACTTGATCTTGTATGTTAGATAGCATTTTATTTTCTTACACGCTGCAAGCCACCCAGAGAACTTCGGCCACAGTGGGGAAAAAGAAGTGTAACAAATAATTAAATAAAATGGGTGATTATGAATATTCAAGAATAGCTCATACCTTCCAGCACACTGGTAATTATGCTAACGGCACTTGCGGTTCTTTCCCTTTGAAGCGGCTCATTATAAAGACGCTGAGCTTGGAGGATCTTCTTGGCCTCATCGTACGAAGTCTGTTTAAAGACGCAAACAACATGTCCAGTTAAGCAGTGTTTCTGTGCCTTTCTCTCAAACAAATGGTCCAGGAAGCTTCAGCTAATGGGTGGTACAGAAGTAAACTAATAATAATACTAAGAGTACAGGAATTGAGGCAGACATGAAAGTGAATGCTGTTAGGCAAGTCAAACATGGCTTTCCTGAGCCAGGGTGGAGCTAGGCACTGAAAAGATCCAGGTCTGAGCTCCACAGTACAAAAGAATTGCAGAAATTTGCAAAAGTCAGTTTACATATGCAAATATAAGTGCCTAATCAGAAATAATTAGGATAATGTAAATTGGACAGAAGGCAAGCTAATTAACTTCTTCCTTGCTTTCAGGACAGAACTGTGCAATGTCCCAAATTTTGCATGCTTAAAACTTGCCTTCCAGATACATTCACTAACACAGAGTAAATCCCACTGCACTCAGTACAATTCATCTCTAAGCAAGCATGTTTAAGACCACAAACTGAGTTTGATTCAATCCTACATGCTTTTCTACCCACAGATCTCTCTGTATCCCCAGTCGTTTCCTTACCCACCATTTTCAGTGTGTTAGAATTTTTGTTTCAGTTTGATTTTGATAACCATTCACCAAAGTGCACACCTTTCTCAATAGAACTCTTTAAAACATGGATGCACAAGAAGGCAAAGCTGTCCTTCGCCCAACTTACATACGGCAACAACGGATGGAGCTGACATGTGGCCATCCATGTTTTGTACTCACCAGGTCCGCTCTGCCAGGATTTTCCATAAGTGGCGGAAGCAGCAACCCTTCCCCAGGCTCCATGTATGGCCTCGTTCCACTGCCTCCCCGCAACGTGAGCATCCCATTGGAATCTTCTCCGGCAGTCCACCTGCTGGGCTGCCCATAGTTTGGCGTGGCTGGGCGGGAGCCGCAGCTAGCCTGGCTCTGGATGCTCGACCGCCTGCCCAGTTGCCCAGGCAGCAGCGCGCCACGGTGGATCTCAGCCTCCCCAGCGCTGCTGGAATCGTCCTCCCCAAACTCAGCCCGTGCGCCCGCATCCCGGCCTGAAACGCGGAAATTGAAGACACTTCCATGACTGGGCCGGCGCTTTGATGGGTTTGAACCAGGACTGCTGCTGTGGGTGAGGATTGCCTGGAGGGGTTGGAGGAAGAAAAAGGAGCATGTGGGATGAAGAGCTGACGCTCCTGCGGAACTCCATCTTTACAGTAAATGCATTAATATGGAGCGCTTCCTGCAGGCAGCAACCGTTATGTTTCGTTACGCAACTGACGTGTGTGGGTGTGTGTACAGTGATTGACTACATGCGAAAGGTAAATAATTCCATGAGTTCCGGCACCATTCTTCTTACCAAAAAAGCACTGGTGCTGTTCATGCCTGCGTCTGCTTTCAGTTTCACCGGAGCTCTGAGATCAAGCTCCAACAGAGACAGCTCTTCTTCCTCTGCTTTTCTGCCATACAACACTAGGTGGCACTGTGCTATAGTGGGACAGTGCAACGAGGCCAGGAGACAGCGCTCCATTTCCCCCAGTATAAGTCAGGGGACACTCCCATCTCTCTCCCCACCTCCCGCCTCCCCGCTCGCGCTCGCTCGCTCGCTCTCTCTCTCTCTCTCTCTCTCTCTCTCTCTCTCTCTCTCTCTCTCTCTCTCGCGCACACACACACACACACACACACACACACACGGACACTCATGTCAGATGCTTGAGGGCCTCCAAATTTGGAGTCTCACAAGCATCTGGTGGCAGGAAGTGCAGAGGAGCAGCAGTGATCCTACTGCCACGGTGCCTCGTGTCCTGCACTTTCCCAACTGGCCACCTGGATTAGGCATCAGGGAGGAAGGAAGCTGGGAAGAGATGGGAAATCCAACCAATGTCCATCTCTGCGGCTGTCACCCGGCCTAAGGTCTTGAAGGGGGAAATTCCCAGCATCCCAGCCCCCCCCCCGCCCCCGGTGCTGTGCAGGGGGGCCATGGGCGTGATCTATTAGCTAATGCTTTGTTTTCTTCCTTTATGCACCTCTGCTGAAACTCCGCCATAGAAATTAGGCTGCAATTTTAAAAAGCGACGGCTTGTGTAAACAGAACCTGAAGCACCAAATTACCGACTTCCGAGGACTGTCACTAGACTGTGATAAGGAGATCCTTGGCTCCTCCCCGTAGCCTTCCATCCCTAGAGACAACTTCTTCATTCTGTTGCTTCGTTCTTTGACCTCTTTGGATGCTACAGGGGACACTTCAAAAGAACTATGTGACATGCTGTCATTTTCTTTGGCAGCTAATTCCTAGAAAGCAGAAATATAGAAATGGAATTGGAGAATTAAGTCTTCCAATGAGATTAGAAACATTACTGTGTGAGATGACAACTTCCTGGGCACACGTATCCCTTGACAATTCTTCTCCAAATGCCTCACAAGTGCATTATGTTGGCATTCAACTTCCATGCCTTTAAACATTACTCTGGATTTTCCAAAGTTCTGGTTTTTCATTTTTCATTTTCCTGCTGTGGGTGCAAACGGGAGTCCCTCATCTGTGCACACACGCTGCACAGAGAGCTGATATTTCCTTTTATTGAGCATCATGATTGTGAGAAAGCTTTTGCCTAGATCATGCTGGATCCTAGGGTGAGTTTATGCATTTCCAATTTGAAAAAGCATTGAGATAAGAAGGAGAGCCTGCAGATCTGAGAATAAGAATGAGGCAGACGGTTTGCTGGAATGGTTGCATATCGGCTCTCAACAAGCATTTAACTTTGTCTCTGAAACACAGCTGTGACTCAGCAAAACAGTTCGACTAACTGGAAAACAGCCTTTCCCAGCCTGGACTATGATGCTACTGGAATGAAACCGCAGAAGCACCAGCTGCGACCTCATCTCCAGCACATTCCTGCAGATCTCACACGAATTTCCGCAAGCAGCCCTCCCCAACTGGATGTCTTGGACTACAGCTCCCATCATGACCAGCCGGCTTGGCCATGGGCTGAGAATGACGGCAGATTTTGCCCAACATGTCTCCAGGTTGTCTTAAGGCCTCTTGCCAAGCTGGGCACCCCAGCTCTGTTCCAAAATACTATACATGCTACAGCAGGAAAGTTGAACGTCAAGGTCATGGGCCCAATTCGGCCCATCGAGTTTCCCTAGGCAGCCATGCTGCTGTGCCTTGAGGACATCCCCTTCCCCCCATCCACCGATCCTTGGGGAGGCACCCAAACGTTCCATAGATCTCCCCTCATTCAGATCTCCTGAAGTCTGCTCACTGCCAGGAGGAGCTGTAATAGCCGCCTTGAATGCTATTTGTGATAGAAATCAAGCCAATAACAGTTAAGCTAAAATAGATAGGTGCTGGGGCTATTTTGGCTCTTCAGCTCCCCAGAGAGGGTCTCTGAAATGGAGTTCAGCTCACAGGCTGATAGAGGTCCAGCACCCCTGTGCTCCAGGCCTATATTTTGCAAAGCCCTCCTACCCGGGGTGGACTTTCCTGTGAGTGGAAATTGAAGGCTCTCAGTTATGCTGGTTTATTGTATTTATTTCCTCCTGTTCTATGTATTTGTTGCATTTATATTGTATTTTCATCCTATTTGTTTATGGTTTTGGTTTGTTATGGTTTTTATCTTTGTTTGTATTTTATATTGCACTATGAGACGCCCAGAGAGCCTTCGGCTATGGGGTGGCATACAAATAAATAAAGAAATATGCTTGCAAACCCTAAAAGTACGCACACCTGTAGAAAGACTATTTCAGGCCCACCTCCTTTAAGGGCAACTGATGTGCTGAGCATCTGCATCTGAATTCATTGAATTATCCAAAGACGCATGATGCAAAGGCATTGTGGAAGAACTGTTCGGCCCTGAGAGATCAGAAACAGCCGGGACCTAACAGGCAGGCTTTCAAAGGGTGAGCAAGAAACATTCAAGCAAGTGCATTTTTCGCAGCATAAGATGTGCCCCAGTACACAATCTGTAAGCATTTGTGGGGAAACAGAGGAAGTTTTAGGTTCGTGGAAGGGTGACCTGCTGACCTCTTGCTCTTTCTTTAGCATCTCCATGGCCTCACGAAACTTCCTTTCCTTTGCCTCTGTTTCAGCCATGGTGGCCTTGCTCTGCTCTTCATATGCCATCGTGACCACAGCCAGGATCAAGTTGACCAGATAGAAGGACCCCAGAAAGATGACCAGCATGAAAAAGAGCATGTAGATCTTCCCAGAAGCTCTGAGTGTCTGAAGTCAGAGAAAATATTTTACTCGTTTTTGTGGTGCTTTTTACCCAATATATGGCTTTCACCACAAAGGTTCCGTGTGTTCCAGGGGGCAAAACCTTTGAAACTATATAGAAAATATGTTCCATTTAACAGAGCCACCCTGCCATGAAAAAGCAAAAGAAGATTAAAAAAATATTCACACATTTATGCATGTATCACAATGTGCCCGTCGGTTCTTGTGCGCTTTTTCCTCTTGATTTTTCTGCTTGCACAGGGCAGGATACAACCCTGGCTACTCCCATTTTGAACTGAACCAGCCATTTGGCTGCACCCTTAACCCTTTGCAGGCACCATTCCCTCAACTGAACCCTTGCTGTCTGGAAGCCCCCGAGCGATCTTTGCCTCCCTGTCCTCCATCTTTCATGTTTTTGGGTTTGGTTTATTTTGTTTTTGCAAGGCAGGCTTGTTAACCCATCTTGAGGGGGTGCTTTGGAGAACGAGAGGAGCAAACTGGAGGAGGCTAAAAATATTTCTTGCCCTGGCCTCTCCAGTTTCCACCCCTCCCTGCTGACTTCAGTGCCCCTTTCCTCCTCCTCCTCCATCCCTCTTCAGCTGCAGAGGCTAGCTGGTGCATTTCTTTGCACGCCAGCTGTGAGCAGTAGGGAATCATGACTTCCCAGGGCTGGAAAGTTCTTCCGAGCACTCCTGTGGTCCTTGGGACATGATCCCAGGGGCCACACAACAGCTTCTTAACGACTGTTTCAGCTTATGATTTAAAAAGAAGAAGCACAAGTTGGGAGAATTCAAATTCTGGTGAACTGGAAGACGACAAAATGTTTATTAAATTCAGCTCCCTGGCAAGGGAGACCCATAAAGGTCTCGTCAGGCCAATCATGGGGCAAGTGCATCGAAACAGGGGCAGCTTCAGATGCTGAGTAGCTGCAGAAAGGAAAGCCATGGAGGAGGTTCCCTTTGAAAGCCCCTCTGTGCTTTCCTACAGTGGCTCGAAAGTAGGCAGGACTGAGAAAATGCACCACCTCCCAGTCCTGAAGCCAGAGAGAGCCTTCCACCCGTGCACAATGCCTGGATCTCTCCTGCTGCGGCAGGGAAGCCTCGCCAGGCAAGCAGTACTTACCCTGTTCTACACTCCCTCCCAGGTCCAGGAGGGACAAAGCCGCTGTGGGGAACCAACCCGACAGGTCCCTCTGCCACGGCCTCTGGTTTCACAGGTTACCCGAGCTGTGCTGGAAGCAGGCCGTGCTGAGGCAGAAAAATGGCCTACAACTCCCAGCATGCCCCTCCAGCTAGCTGCAGGGTGCTTTGATGTCTCAACAAGCACATAGGATCATGTGCTCAGGGTGCATAGGATTATACCCCGGATGATGGGTCGTCCACATACATATGTGTTTATTTATTAGATTTTTATTCCACCAATTAGCCATAAAGCTCCCTTATATAGCAGGATGAGATAGGAATGAGGTGGTACATTCCGGACTGTCCCACCTTAGACTGCAAGCAGTGGATTGTGCTACTGGTATCCAGAGTCCCTTTGGGACCAAAAGCCAAGATCTGCATATGCTATTAAAGAAAAGAATACATGTTTAAAACTCTCTGCAAGGAGAAAACTAGCTGAACAGGGACTGGGCTATGCTAACATTTTCAGTCCAATCCAAATATGCTCATTTTGTGCCTGCAATGAGGTCTTACATGGAGGAATATTCAAAACCTTGCATCCCTTCTGTAGCCTAAAGTGATATAGTTAATTTCACCCCTTATGCAGGCCAGGCCCAAGAAGGAACCCCAAGAGCCTTGTAAAGCAAGCAGCTCTGGGTGACTGAACAGCAACTCCAGGGTCGTTTGATTCAACAGCAGCGAAGTACCTGCTGGTAGAGGCGCTCCCAGTAATCCTGTGTCATGAGCCGGAACAAGGAGAGAAAGGCCCAGCCGAAAGTGTCGAAGCTCGTGAAGCCGTGGTCGGGGTTGTCTCCAACCTTCAGACAGATGTATTTTGGTGGACAAAAGCTACAAATGATAACCCTTTTAAGTAATAAACATCTCCAACGGATACATATTAAGAGGAATCACGACATTACGTGGGCACGCTGAGAAAGATGAGGGCTCTTGCTTTTGAGCGCCATAGCCAGCACTGAACTGGGCAAAGAGTCAGGGCTCACCCAGAGGGGCTCATACCATTTACGCCAGCGGAGCTCCTTATCCAAGTCCCCAGCCTCTCCGGGCCTCGCCATTTGCCACAGTGCAAAGCTGGTGCTCCCCCGGTCGATCTTAGAGCTCACCACACAGGGGCGCACTTGCCAACGTTCGCTCCACAAGACCGACAATCGCCATGCAGTTACTTAAAAAGCCTGTCTGAAAGTGGGGAGGAGGCTGTGGAGCGGCTGGACAGAAACCAGAGGCATGAAATAATATGGACTATTGGGCTTTCTGCTCAGTTGAAATGTCCTTTTGGCAAAGTAGCAGAAAGAGGTTTAACCTATAAAATGGGCAGCCATTAAGCTCACTTACCCGCCATCAGAACTGTTGTGGCATAATAAAAAATCATCAGTGCCATTCTTAATTTTGTAATTTTCTGCAGAAGGAAACAGAAAGAGGACACCTTAATATATATGGATAGTTTCCCAGTTGCACAGTTGTTTGCCAACCTGTTACTTGTTATTAACAATATTATTATTGCTAAATTGCTTTTATTATCAATAGATTAGAAGCACATCAGTTTTTGAGCTACTAACCGACGTTCTGCCACTTCCCTTAAATGCCCAACCTTCTTCTTTTCCTCCCTAGTTCCACCTTAGCAGATGAGTCCGTTTAGCAATTTACTTTTATACAGTCGAATAGCAACGCTTCTCTTGCTTTGCCCCCTCATTGCAAAACCTCCTGCAGCTAGATATCATCAGGACAAAATGACCAAAAGCTTTGCCATAACATGGCTGCTAAAAGCCTGACCCTGTAAGAACAGCTTTAGACTTAAGATAGTCTCCATGTACATGTTGCAAGTCTGGCTCCCTCCGTACATTTTAGAAATGCTAACGTTTGCCTGTTCTGCACAGGTACATTCTTGGACATGCTATCAGTTTGCCTGTCCTGAAGGTTATTCTTTTTGTGTTGTGCTGTTTTAATCCTATTATTTTACCCTAATATGCCTCTCACATACTGCAAACGCGATCCCCACTTGACCCTAAACTGTGTATGTCAATGATAGGTTGTCGAAGCATCTTGGAAGCTCTCTGCTTTTTTCTCATCAGTCTGGTTTTTTTCTGGCCAACACTGAGAGTGACAACGGATGGATGATCTACCAGCGATTTGTCTTCCAACACCGCATCAATGTAGGATCGTCATGTTGCAGGGTGTAGCGCTTAGGAGTGCAGGACTGCGACTCAGGAGATCTGGGTTCTAGTTGTCGCCTGGCCATGAAGTTCAGTGGGTGACTCTGGGCCAATGAATTATTCTCGGCCTAACCTGCCTCACAGGGTGGTTGTGGCGAGGACAACATGGAGGAGAGGAGAACCTGGCAAGCTGCCTTGGGTTCCTCACAAGATGGAGGAAGGTGGATTATAAATACAATAGAATAACAATAGTGTAGTCTTTGTGCTTTTAAATGAAACTTTTAACCATGTTGGGGCCTTTTAGAGCTCAGCACATTGGGTGTGCTGCTTCACCCCACCCCCATTCAATTTTGATGAAACCTAAATGACCCTTTTAATATGACTCTCAAATTTTATTAAAACCACAAGTGAAATAGCAGAGATCTGTCACTTTATTGTAGGAAAATATATGGAATTAATTTGAAGTGGCACAGTAATGGAAGAATAATTTACATCTTTTTATACTTCATGAGCCTGTGAGCATTGGTGGGTAATGTACAAAACCCCTCCGGGCTATTATATATGATTATTTTGAATTCGGTGCCGTGCTTGGCATCTTGACATTGAAAATGCATTGCAGCGTAAGTTTGGCAGGATGCAGAATTATGCTTTGTGTGGTTCTTCCCAGTAAGAAGAAAGATCTCCTGTGAATTATCTTGCTAGTGAGTTAATATTTTCTTTCCATTACAATTACTTCATTCCTGGAAGCACATTTATGCATTTGAAAGTAAGATTCCAATAATGCTTCACTGGAAACCTAACATGGCAGAGATATAATTGCTGCAAATCCTTCTATGCAGATGACTAATGATAAGCAATTCTTGCCTTGTTTGCTAGGGCTTGTTTCAAACCTGGGGGGAAAAGGTACAAGAAATCTATTATTTTCCAAGCAGGTGTGAAGAACATCTACCTTGATTGTGAATGAATTTCTCATACGAAGGCAAATCCTGTTCACCTAGAAAATAGGTTCCATTGGAATACACCGAGAGTTTGCTCTGGTTGATAAACTCCGTATAGTTCTTGACACATTTGTGTCTTAAATGCCCCTTAAAGAGCTGGAGGCCGATCAGAGCGAAGACGCTCAGGCAGAAAACAGTCAGAATCATAACGTCGGCAAGTTTCTTAACGGACTGGATAAGGGCCCCGACGATGATCTTCAGACCTACAAGGAATGGGGGGAGCAAACAGCACGTGAATTCCAGAATCACAATATGTACTGTGAGAGCCCAAATGGATCTAGAGTTGGGCTCCATTTGCTCATATTTATGACAATTCCTTGCATCTTGCATTGACAAGGGTCTGCCCCTCCATTTCTGAATTCTGGATGCTGTTTGGACAGCTGCCAGTGTGCCATTTACCGCCATTTCCAGTTTGCATCTTTGAGTGGTCACCAGTTCCCCTCAGTATGTAGGATTGTGTACAGAGAAATTCATCATGGCTCAAAAAAGAATTCTGGTGTGGTCACGCAGCTGTGGTTTGGGAACTTCCTTCCAAATGATAGGTTTTATTGAATTTATAATACTCAGAGTAAACCCACAGAAATCAATAGAGAAAATTGGTCATGACTAACCAACATCCTATTGATTTCTGCAGGTCTACTCTCAACATGACTAAGACTGGATCCAAGCCAGTCATAGCCACATGGCTGCTTTGCGCATCTTATCATTTATTTTTGCATTTATTTATTAAACTCATATTATGCTCTGTTAGCTGCTTTGGGCTTCCTTTCATGAGGGGAGCAGAAATAGCACCCCTTGGAAAGGCAGCATCAGAACCCAGGCAGGAGGTACGGCATGGGGCCTCCTGGCCCACTTAGCCAGCTGTGTGGATATATGCCAGTCAGAAATCAGCACAGCTGGAGCCTGCGGTCTGTTGCAGACAATGGCATTCAACTCAGTGCTTGCATCGATGTTTCAGACTGGACAGGTTGCTTGACCTTCAGCTGCCCCCTTGGACCAGTCCCTTGGACATTCCTGTCTCACCTAGGCTTATGGCACGTCAAATTCTACGGACTGACTTCTGGGCTGGAGTGGACTGAACAGGCTTCTCCTGTTGATGATACTGTTATCTGGGTGTGGCACTTGCTGACAAAAGAGGAGGTTTCTTGGTGCCCATGCCCCAGACTGCGCCTGTCCCTACTCCGAAATGTTCTCTGAGAGATCCAGGGGCCCAGTCCTGGAAAAAGGGAATTCTAGCAACTCATACTAGCAACATTTTTAGCAAGACATCTACAGACGTTCCTGAAAGCAAACTACCAATGAGAATGCAGGACTTTCTCTGATAAGTAGCTGCTATTGAAACATACACATCTGATAACCAATGAGCCACGGAGAGGAACTAGAATAAATGTCCCCATATATTCATTAGAAATTTGTCAAAGATTTTCATACCTGGGATGATGGAAATGGTTTTTAAAGCTCTCAGCACACGAAACATCCGGAGAACTGAAACATTGCCCAGTTCAATAAACTCTCCCAGGTATCTGTAAATCAAAAGGTGAGAGTTTATAAGAGACAAGATGGATTCTCAGCCACAGAACCCAGGAGCATCATTCTGGGGTAAATATACTCTTCTGACTGGGGTCATGACAACCATGACAAGGCTTCTCTGAGTTTTCCCTTGCTGTTCCAAAAAAGAAGGTGGGGGTTAAAAGTTGTTTTAACAACTGCTTCTGAAGGCATCACCCCAATGGGTAAGAGGCTTTCTGATGGACCACACAACCAAATGGTGTCATCGGAACTGGCATTCACAATCACTATTGTGAGATATTGCTTTTTAGGTGCTTCAGTCACATCTTTGAAAGGAACTGGGCTTAGCTAACGACTCTTTTCTTGCAAGCCCGTGAAAAGAAAACCCTGCCACTTACGCCATCACGATGACACTGAAATCCAGCCAGTTCCACGGGTCTCGAAGGAAGGTGAACTCGTTCAAGCAAAAACCTCTCGCCAATATCTTGATTACACATTCAAACGTGTAAATGCCAGTGAAAGTGTACCTGGGAAGAAAAGGTGTTCAGAGAAGCAGGTTCAGCACAGAAAACAAGCATAAAGTTCATCAGTCATGCTTATCTCCATAAACATATTCCAGTGTATTGTGTTCCATAGAAATGAAAGAAAAGGTTACCATGCATGGGGTCAAAATAAGGTCTCATTCCATCTTGAGGCAATGAGAGGAATTAAGCAGCTGTTAAATGTCCATGAGGAAACAGTCAGGGGGTGTGTACATACTCACAAACCTGTGTGCATTTTTGATTCCTTGTGCATTTTGAGATCACTATTCTTCCTTCCCACCCCAGGGTATTAGAATATTAATTTAAAATAAGAGTGTCATAAGGCGCTAACATGAAAAGCATGTATCTGTCTAAACTTGTATCAGATTGCACTCCAGGTCAGTTTAAGACAAGATTGCAAGGTGTCTGTTAGAACTTTGCAGCCGCCTTCAAAATGGTGACAAATAAAATAAAAACTAACGGAGTTAAAAATGGTTCAGTCTGTGTGGAAATACTTCAGGGGAGCCACTACCAAAGCCAATATCAAAATAGACTGACTGAAGTTCTGACTTGGGGCTTTTCTGCATGAACACCTGCTGTTAATCCGATGCATCTACTTTTGGTGTCATTTACAGATTTAAGATGTGAACGCTAAACAAGGACCATTTTCTTTCCTGCTTTTCCAACCAAATTACCTCTAGGTGGCACTATAGGAAAGCAAAATAGCACAAATACACAAGAGGAAAACATGTTTCCTTTCACCAATCAATACACACTCTCCACAAAATACCATTTTCCCTGCTCACAGTTTAAAAACAGAAGCGAAACTGGTGGGCACTGAGGTGACAGCTAAAGGACCCATAAAGAACTGTATGTAGTGACTGACACATATACAACAAAGGTCCATATACAAAAGCTCTCCATACAAAGTAGGAATGCATGCTCAAGAAAGGAGATGTCACAGAAGTCACTTCTGGGTGGATGCTGGATGCTAAAGATAATGAACTGCAGCCATGGTTGTGTTCAGCCAACCATGGCAAATTATTGTCTGCAGTCATTCGGAGATAATAGCCATCCCATCTGTAATAAACTCATTGTCTTTACATGGGGCAGAATTTCTCATAATTTGCCCGGCATTTGGAGTATGTGGAAAAATATGGTAGGCTTTTAAAATAGGGAGCATGAAATAAGAATAGTACTACTTACTCAATATACTTATTGAAGGACGTCTCACTGCTGTTTGGCTGAGGTGATTCCCAAAGAGCCATGAAGAAACAATTTGCTAAAATAGTTAGCATGATAAAGATAGTGAAAAATGTGAGTAAAAGGAGTTAAGGACAACAACAGTGTGGAAACCTGACCCTCAAAATGTAATCGCATCTCAGTGGGGGGTAGTGCTACTTCTAGTTGATTACAGCAGAAATATTGTCCACATAAACTTTAACTATGAGCTCTTGCTCAAAGCATAAGAGAGAGAGAAAATAAACCATGAATGGGGCAGCCCTGTGTTCCCTCTACACCCCAAGTGAGAGTCCCATGTTTCCCAGATTCCAGGATGCATCATGCATCTTAAGAATTTCACAAGAGTCCTGTTGGATTGGACCAAAGGTCCGTCTAGTCCAGCCTGCTGCCCACATAGTGACCAACCAGCAGGGCAGGCATGCAGAATCACTCTCCTGCCCATCCTCCCCAGCAGCCAGCATGCCTTGGCATCCTGCCTCTGATATTGGAGGTGGCATGTAGCCATCTGGACCAGTAGCCACTGATAGCCATCTCCTCCATGAATGTGTCCAGTCTCCTTACAAAGCTGTCCCAACTGGTGGTCACCTCTACATCTCATGGAAGTAAGACCCCCAGCTTTAACTACATGCTGTGCAATGAGGGACTTCCCTTTCTATGCTGTGAATGTCCGGCCAGCCAGATTTCATGGGATGGCCACATTCAGTTCTAGTGTGATAAGAAATAAAGGAACATGCTTCCCTCTCCACTTTGGCCATACCATGCATGATTCTGCCCTCCTCCATCATGTCTTCCCAAACTTTCCTTTCTCCTAAGCTAAACCAACCCACTTGTTGTAACCTCTCAAGGGAGCTGCTCCAGCCTCCTGGTCGTTTTGGTTGCCCTCTTCTGCCTTCTCCCTGTGGGTAGGTGCTGGCCCTGCAGCCCATGTTCTAGGTTTGTATGAAGGAAGGAAGGAAAAGGCCAGGCTCTTCTTAATGTCAAGGATATGAATGCACCAAAATTTTAATCGTCATTCGTCGAATGGGATGAAAGGGACTAAAGATGTACAAAGCCCGTGTGGCTGTGAATCGGAAGATGGCTTTCCCTTTGTTCAGTACCATAAATGTCTGTGGCAGAGGGAAGAATGCAGTGAGATTATTGTACACAGTATGAGAGCCTCTGTTGACATTGTGCAGTCCATTCTGTCCCTCCAATGTGGCATGAAATATTCTAGGATGATCTCAGTTCTCAGATCATCTTTCCTTACGCCGTACGGCAGCATCCACAAGCCAAAGGAGAGGCGTCGGGGTGCACAAGGTCTGTGGGGAGGGAACACAGAGGGAGGCTGGAGGGGCACCTGGGCTTTCTTCGCCTCCACATCGGTAAGGACCTTGGAAGGGGGGAGCAGAGTGCTAGGCAGCAGCAACCTGGAAATTACTCCCAGGGAGGGGAGCTGCTGGACATGAACAAAACGGGAGAGCATCGGATGCCTTGACAGTCACCCAGCTGCGGTGGCAAAAGCCTGGGAAAGAACATGGTGGCCAAACAAGGGGGTGGGCAGGCTGGAGCCCTGAGCCTTGTTGGCTCAACCTGAGTGGGGATGGGGAGAGGAAAGTCATATTTGACCAAGCAGCAGTGGCATGTGGCTTGGAAGCTGCCGCTTTGACTTGCCTGCAGGGACCTGCTTCAATGCTAAATCGGAGGGACATGCAAACTGGAGACTCCCCAGGCCAGACCCAGCTGTTGGATGCAGAGGGAGCCCTGGGAATCCATCAGGACCAGGTGGTACTCTCAGGACCATGGGACCCCAGAGGCTGCCTGAGCTCAACTACAGTCTAAATAAATTCCTGGGCTGAGCATGTCCTTTGTGGCACCCTGTCAGGTGATTTGTACATATCTGCCTCTCTTCCCCCATGTGCCATTTTTCATCAGGCTCCACTTGATGGAACTGACTTCCAGCAAAAAGCAAAGTAGATCTCACAGCAAGGATGCCTGTGCAGCCCATGCTACCAGACTTTACTTCTTCTACCCAGGCATTCACAGACTTGAGAACTCAAAACACCTCTCCACTCTTCTGCTCACGATCACCTTGCTTCTTTCAGAGAAGTTCAATCAGTAAATGCAAGTTTCCCATTCTCGTGATATTACAAACCTGGGTGTCACAACAAAATAGCTTCACCTTGTGATCATCGTAATAGGGGTCCAGATCCTCAAGGGGTTCTCCAATGAGCTCAGGAGGAGGGTTTCCGTACAGGGCAGGCAACTTCTGGAACGCCTGTATGTCACGCTGGGGACGGAGCTTCTCCCCAGGGAAAGGGTCTGTGGCTTCTCTCTTGGCTGCCACACGTTTCTCAATGGCAGCCAAAGATTCAGGAGTGAACCGGCGGAAATTATTAGCACCCAACAGTGTCAGCTCAGCCATCTTTGCATCCTTCTTAGCCCCTCCTGTGAGACAAAATTTCCCCTCGTTGGAAAATTCACACCAGAACTACGTCAGGAAAGAAATTTTCCCCCCTGTTGCAGGAAGCCTCTCTGAATGAGTAAAGGGGAATAGCAAAGGATGGAATGATTAGACAGAAGAAACAGTTCAGATCTTAAATATTCAGAAAGGTTTTAATGTCAGCATGGTATAAGAACTATTTACACACCATTTACTAAAGCAATGAAGGCTTATCATTCTCATAATTTTTTCTCATGCGTCATATGTGGGAATCTCAAACATTTCCCTTTATAAATAAAAAGGGAAAGACTGAGAAATAAATGTATCTTGACAAATGAGCAACTCAAAATCCCATCTGTATTTCTGAAAGATAAAGATAGAGCTCAACCCATTCCAGCTCAACTACATTAGGCAACAAGGTCAGGCTCAGCTGCACCGATTTGGACCAGTTAACGGAAATATCTCTGCCAACAAGATGTATAATTATGGGTGCAGCCCCATGGCACCCATACCAGAGACCAAGCTCACACAGGGCTTCCTTCAGAGTAATCATGCAAAAGACGGCATTGTAACTTTTGAAATGCTGTGAGTGTGACATTTCAAGACTGCTTCCAAAGGGAGCAGATTAAATTCACAGAGCTTTTGCAAATGAGGCTTTTTAACTCACTAATTCTGCTTCCAGTTTCATTACATGATTAGGACCGGAACTCTACATAAAGGTTTATTTTATTTTCTTTCCTGCAATTCCATTCCTTCTTCTATGTAACCTCTACGTGCTGTTTGGACATGGTGAAAGAAAATGGAATAATGCAATAGCATTGATGGAGAATTGTGTTTTGTTTCACAATACTACCCCCCCCCCCAAAAAAAACCCCACCCAGAAAAGTGTTTGGAAACTGGAGTGAGCACATACACCAAGCCTTGCTTTGGAAAGTCATGGTGGCTCCATAGCAGCCCCCTAAACAAGCCCAGAGAAACAATAGCTCACAAAAATGCAACCCTTGACTACCCTTCTGGGGCCTGGCAGAGGAGGGAGGGTGAACAGCATTTCTGTGGTGGGTGCAAAGGAGGGGGCTTCCCTGCTCTAGCAGCCCTCTTGCTTTCTGTGGTGGCTGCCAAGGAGTCACAGGGCACTGCCTTTCTCCACCACCAGCCCACTCACTGCCTGGCATGGAATCCCCCAGGGCCTTCACGGATCACTCTTCTGTTTAATCCATTAAGGCTGCCCTGCTCAGCTCCCCTAAGACCACTGCAGAATTCTCATTGCTCTGCGCAACAGCAGATGATGGAGCCTAGCTTCCATTTTAATTTCCCACAGTGCTCTGGTGATTGTGGGAAATAAACCTTTGCCACTTGACTGCTGCCTTAGATTTGTGACCCATTCCTGGGTTTGTATGTCATTCTGACCTCGCATGTCTCTCCTGTTGCCTCAGAACTTGACCTCCTGCTGGCCTACAACTCCACACTTATCTCTGGCCCTTCGTTCCCCATTCACCTGATCTTGCTTGACCTCCTGCCTGTGTGTGACCAAGGTGAGCCTAGGTTGTTTTCCCTCTTTGAGGTAAGCCAAGGCCTGCCACAGAAGCGTGAACGAAGGTGGCCAGAAGGAGAGGGCTGAGAAGGAAAGGAAAACCAGGTGAGGAACTGAACAAGAAACAGACCTTTGCATAAGAAGAAGCTAAAGCAAGAAGCCCCAAAACCCATTGACTGAGCGGAAACAATAAGCCAGATCTATGGTCACAGGACTCTAGTGAACCTGTAGCTGAAGCTCTGGGGATCAGGACTTTACAGAGCATGTGATGCTTTTATCACATGCAAAGCAGCAGAAGCTGGTGAGACCTGTGTTGGTGGGGCTCCTCCTGCAGCAGAGCTTCCCTTTTCAGTGTCATGGGTGCTTTGGAGGAGCTATCCGTGGTCCTGAACTCCTCCTCAATAGAGGCTCACCAATGTAGAGATTCAAAAAGCTGAAAAGAAAAGCTGGAATGGATAAGGAACTCCACGGACATAGGCACTACTAGACTCCTTTGATGAATGCCCTTGCCTCTGCACTAAGGAGTAGGTGCTGTATGTGATCTTCCCTGAGCACATTTATTAATATTAATATTATTTTCAATTCTATACTGCTCCATAACTGAAACTCTCCAGGCAGTTTATGGCTCTCTGGATGGTTTATATTTTATCTTCTCAACAACCCTGTTCAACAAGGCTGGTCCTGCTGTAAGGCAAACAGGGTCCTGCCTCAGGCAGCAGATTCAGGGAGGGGTGGCAAAGCTGACGGAGGACAGAGCTGAAGGGGTACCGCGCAGCCTGCAGTGCCCCTCATCAAGAATTCTGCCACCCTCCGGTACAGTAGAACCTGCAAACATGCAGACAGTACTGCCAGTCCAGACTGTTTCCATGCGTGGAATTGGGGGGGGGGGGGGCACGCCAGCTTGTTCTTTGCTGCAGGCAGCAAAATGTCTTGGGACCACCATGCTGTTTGGTAGGTTAAGATGGGAGATGGTGAGTGTCTGAAGGCATCCAGGAAGCCACATGGCCAAGTGGAGATTTGGATCTGGTTCTCCCCATTCCTAGTTTCTGGCTGTCCTTTATGAACCTCCTCTTATCTGTCTTATCCCATTCCAAAATGGGATGAAAGTGTTCCTGCCTTTGGACTGAGGCTACGCTAATTGAGGAAGCATTGCCCTCACTCTCAGTTGGCTCTGCTACATTCTCAAATGACACTGACACAGATCTAAAATTAACCATGACATCATTGGATTCCGTGTGTGATTCCTTATTAGCTGGTATCACAGTTCTCAAGGAGCAGACCCATTCAGAAAACAAAAATGGCATAAAAATAGTTGCAAATTAAGGCCTTAAAAGGCAGTGAGCAAGGGAGGTTTGGCATTTATTTCCAACTTACCAACACCCCAAAGCACTTTCCTAAAGAGGCTCACTCAGTTGCAGAATGCTGTTTCTCTAGTTGCAGAATGTGACTTTCCATAGTACATTTTCCCGCAAGTACACCACTCTTTAATATATCTGGCTCCGAATGCAGCAAAAGCAATCTTTTGAGATTCTGTGCTGTTCTTATTGTTCACGATAAATGGGATGGGTTGAGGGTAAGCAGGAAAGCAGGGTTTGAATTATGCATGGATTGATATCACTCCTGCAGTGGACCCAGAGGGAATATGGTAATTGCTCATCTGCACCCTTTGCCAAAGAGTGCAGACACTCGTGCGTTAGCAGCCATGCGGCTTCATTCAAAGTCTACTCTGCGCAAAAGAGTTAAGTTTTGTTTTGAAAACCCACTGGCCTCCCTCAGCTTCTTCTTCTTCTACCTCCTCCTCCTCCTCCTCCTCTTCTTCACATTGACATTTCATTTTTTTCCTCTCACAAGGAACTGGGAGAGGTTAACATGGGCCTCCTCCTTGCCCTTTCATCCCCACAACAAGCACCCTGTGAGGCTGGCTGGGCTGAGAGCGTCAGGCCCAAAGCCACACTCTGAGCTCCAAGAGTGCCAGCCCTGCCCTTGAACCACGGTGCCTTGCTGAATCTCACTGGCCTGACCATCCACCCAGTTGCTGTACACATACGGAAATGCAACCCTTGATGCAGAAGCCGTCTTCATGCAAGGTAACCCCTGATTCCTGGGAATCTTAGTGTGTATTAAAAGGACCCAAGATTTAAAAAAACAACAGCACAACAGCAGCAGGCTAACAGCTTGATACAACCTGAAGACATGCTTCCAAACTAGTGCAAGTTTGCACACGTAGGAGAGGAGCCCTGTAGCATCTGTACTTGTCCAAATTCTGCACAAATGCTGCTCTTTTCTAAAGCACCTCCTGATGTTTAGAAGTTTCTCCTCCTGTTTACTAAAACTTGCTTCTCATTAGTTTCTCTGGTTCTAGTCCTGCTTTCTGGATGACAAGAAGCTGCTCAGAAGCACTGCAGAAGCCAGGGTGTGAAACTTCTTTCAACCCAAGGGCTGCATTTAGTTTTGGAGACATTTTCAAGGGACACGTGCAAGGTTGAAGGTGAAGGGGCAGTAGCAGGGACAGGGCAGAAGCCCGAATGGTACCAGCCTGTGGTAGCTGGAAGCACTTGTCACCAAGAGCTGGGCCTTCGGAGAGATAGCGCCGCCTTTTGAGCTCCAGGGCAGCCAGATTTGCTTCCCACGCCTGTGGTCCCCAGCCCCTTTGAGCACTGTTCTGTTTCTCCAGGTCTGGAGTGCAACTGCATGATTAAAGGGGTAGCATTAATTTCGTCCCAGGCTGCCTCCTCTGCACGTTTCGACATCCCGTAGTATCCAGATGTCCTCTGGGTGACTGAGCATCTGGTTCCTATTCTCCAAAGAGCTGGATTTTCCATCTGCGTTGGCTGTTCTATCGTCATGGTTGAATTCAGCATTTGGTGTCCAACCTAGTGATGGGCAGCGGCTGTGTGTGTCTTATTTGACCAGAGGAAGAGCTGTCACAAAGGGGTATTTAGCATGAGGCAATAGAGGGTTGACAGGCAGCAGGATTCAGCATTTGATGGTGTTTGGCAGCTCAGAGACTTAATATTTCATGTCTGACAAAGCATTAAAGAGGTTCTATGCATTTTTAATAAAAAGAAATAAATCACAGATTCAAGTGGGACTAGGAGAGGACTGTCGGGATTGGGCCTGCTTCTCTCCAAACATTGCTCTCCAAGCAAGAAAGCTCAGACTCTGAGGGTGACAAAGAGAAGGAGGAGCTGGAATGTGTTGCTGCAGTGCTGAGGTGAATGAGCAAAGGGAGCTAAGAGGCAGCGAGAATCAAGTGGCCTCTGGTTTGGTTGGAGACAGTGTAGAACAAAGACGGTCTGAGGAAGACGGGTGGCAGCTCCTGACCTGTGCTTTGTCATCAGGTCAAGCAAGTAGACCAATTAAGCAATGTGGCGCACAAGCCCCACAAACTTCTCTGAGGGTAGAGGCAGCTCCTTGGGGGTGGGGGGGATTCATTTTGGAATCAGCTCCT